CCACTAATGAGCACCAGCATTCCATATCAGAATGCCAGTTTGAGTCCTGACTGCTCCATCTCTGATACATCTCTCCCTCCTAATGTGCAAATAAAAGCCATAGAATGTGGCCCAGGTGCGTGGGCCCCTGCTGCTCTCATGGGAGAGCTGGATGGAGTTGGACATCCTGGCCTAGAACTAGAGATTATAGTGATATGGAGACTGAACCAGCAAATGCAGTATGCTTTTCTCTTGGCATTCTACCTTTCAGATCAACAGCAAGCTTTAAATAAATCACCTACATGCTGCCTGCATTGCTGACTTTCCGTGAGAGTCCTGGTACTGCTTCTGATATATCCTGATCAGATCAACTCACTAATGATGGCCGGAGTGTTTGGGTCTCTATACCTTATGGGAGACTTGGATGGAGGTCCAGGTTCCTGGTTTCTCCCTGACCCAGCCTGGCCATTTTGGCCATTTTGGCCATTTGTGGGGTTAATAGGCAGTTAAAAGTTGCTCTTTGTAACACTGCATTTTAAATAAATAAATTTTCAAGCAGTGTAGTTTTTATATGTATAATGTATATATTATGGCAATAAAATTAAATTTTCAATCCAAGAATATTTTCAGGAAATTCTTTTTTTTTTTTAAAGATTTTTTTATTGAAAAGGCGGATATACAGAGAGGAGAGACAGAGAGGAAGATCTTCCGTCCAATGATTCACTCCTCAAGTGAGCGCAACGACTGATGCTATGCCGATCCGAAGCCAGGAGCCTCTTCCGGGTCTCCCACGTGGGTGCAGGGTGCCAAAGCTTTGGGCTGTCCTTGACTGCTTTCCCAGGCCACAGGCAGGGAGCTGGAAGGGAAGCAGGGCTGCCAGGATAGAACCGGCGCCCATATGGGATCCCTGGTGTGCAAGGCGAGGACCTTAACCACTGCGCCACCGCGCCGGGCCCTATTTTCAGGAAATTCTAACCAACATTTGGCCCTAAAGTGTGAAGCTGTATAATGTAGTAACAATTAGTGTGAGATTTAAAGTAGAGGAATTCGTTTGTATTGTTAAATAAGCCACTCCTAGTAATACTGTATTGGATTTCAAAATCTTCCAAAAATGTTTATGGGTTCAGAGCTAATTATAAAAGGAAATAGAAGGTGGGGAAGGCATTTGTCCCAGCTGTTCAGATGCCCCAGTCCTATAAAGGAGAAGCTGAATTCCATTGACTTCAGGTTCCTGGGAAGCAGTGGTAATAGCTCAAGTATTTGAGTTCCTTATGTGCACATAGGAGATGTGGATTGAATTCAGGGCTCTGACAGTTGTAGTCATTGAAAACAGTGAGCCCAGAGGCTTGCATGTGGCTCAACTGAGTAATCTTCCACATTCAAGCCCTGCCATTCCATATGGATGTCAGTTTGTTTCCCGGCTGCTCCACCTCCTACTTGTGGCGTGGAAAAGCAGCGGAAGATGGCTCAAGTCTTTGGGACCTTGCACCCAGGTGGGAGAAGCAGAAGCAGCTCTTGGTTCCTGAGTTCGTATCGGCTCAGTACTGTTCATTGTGACCGTTTGCAGAGTGAAAACAACAGAAGGGAAGATCATTCTGTCTCTTCTTTCCATAAATTTGTTGTTACAATGAAATTTAAAAAAAAAAAGTAATGTAAGTTCTTTAATGGGTTCTAAAATTGATTCAGGAAGCTATAACTCCAATGTTTAGCTTAGTGGTTATATCACCTGCATCCAGCATTGGAATATATGGGTTCAAGTCCCAGTTCTATCTCCAACAATTATGTGTATTTGGTGAGTGAACCAGCAAGTGGGAGCCCAACTCTTCCTCTCCAGCAGTCTAAATTAGTGATTGACCTCAAAGCCAGTGCAGTGATTTAGCGGGCTAATCCTTTGCTTGAAGCATTAGTATCCCATATGCATGCTAGTTTTGGGCCCAGCTGCTCCACTTGTGAGCCAGCTACCTACTTATGGCCTGGGAATGCAGCAGAGAATGGCCCAAGTCCTTGGGACCTTCCGTTTACATTGTGGGAAGTCCGAAAAGAAGCCCTGGCTTTGGATTAGATCTGCTCAACTCAAGCTATTGCAGCTATTTTGGGAGTGATCCAGCGGATGGAAAACAATCCCCCCCCCTCTAAATCCGGCGCGATAACCTAGTGGCTAAAGTCTAGCCTTGCATGTGCCAGGATCATATAGGGGCTCTGCTTTGGATCTTCTGTGCTCTGGCCATTGTAGCCACTTGGGAAGTGAATCAGGAGACAAAAGATCTTTCTGTCTCTCCTTTGCAGATCTGACTTTCCAATAAAAATGAATAAATCTTTTTTTAAAAAAACCAAATGAAATGATTAACTTCTTCTAAAATGCATATATGCTTAAAGTAAAAGGAGTCAGTTTAGCATTAAAAGACCTTATTATAGGGTCTGCATTGTGATAATATAGAACAAAATTGCATTGCTGCTGTCTGGGAAGATCAATTATTCCTTCAATCACTGTAGTTTTAATATATGTAAATGTAATGAAACTTCCAACATACTTCTTTTCTAACAAAAGGATTATACATTATCTTAAAAGAGAATGTGGAAACTTCTAAAGAACAATGATAATCAAGGATTTCTTATTAAAATAGCAGTGCAGAGAGGTAAATGGAGTAGGCTGGAAAGCCTGTGAACGGATTATGGGACTGTGGATATCTATTATATGAAAAGGGGTGCCTGAGACCACCAGCTGAGAGAGTTGGGCTAGTTGGCCATCCCGTGGAAGAACTGAGCGTCTATGAAAAGGTGCTGTGGACACGAGGGCTCCGGCAGCTGTGCACGTCCTCTGGGATTGACTCAGCACAGGGTTCTTTCCTGACAGGCTGGGGGACTGCCTGAGGAGGTAATGAGGCTGAGTTCTTGGAAATTCAAGCCAATGTACAGTCCTGCAGTAAAGGATTACAATGGGGTGGGTTGCTAGTTCAAAGGAAAGATCCAAATAACATTCATGCATTTTCAGTCAAGTTTTTAAATGCAGAGGTTATTTCAACTTCTTATGTTTTGACAGGTAGTGTTTTACTCCTATCTACTGATTCACTCCCTGCATGTGTCTGGTTCCCAGGTGTCTATGTACATGGCAGGGTGCTAGCTACTGGATACCTGACAGCTACCTCCCAGGACAGCAACATTGGGTGTCCCCCCGCCCCTTTAGGGGTTCTGGTGACCACTTCAGGGGTTCAGGTGGTATTTGACCACTTATATGCCTTTAGGGCTTATAAAGCTATGTATGAAACCTAAGAGCCACAGTGGGCTTTTGCAGATTTGCTGATTAAATAAATCACCTTTACACAAGGTTGAAAAGCAAGTCAGAAACTAGGAAAGGAAGGCAGTTGGTGAGTCAGAAGGTCACTGTGTGGGTCCATACTGAGGTCTGATAAAAGAGTAAGGCAGGAAACCATTGGAAGCCTCATGAGCCGTGAGGAAAATGTAAGTTAAGTTTAGGTGGTGTTCCCCTGTGAAGTGAGGCAAGTTTTTGATCTAGTTTAGGATATCTAAAAATTCCTTATTCTGAGGTTGATGATGTGTATAAATAGTATTTAGGTTCTGTAAACTACAAGAAAATTAATAGTAGTGTAGACTTCGATTTCTTTGTAAAGATGTCTGGTGAGTATTGTGTCGTGAAGACAGCAGACTGTGAATCCGGGCGAGTGTTATTTCTGTGATACTGCAGACTCCCAATCTCGTGACTGTTCTCTGGATGTGAGGAGACCGTTTCGTGGAGTCATATTTCAGGTGATAGGTTTGTCCTTTCTTCCGAGCTTGAAAATTTGGTGAGACTAGATGTTTATTTGGTTTATGGATTCATGTTCAGTGCTAATCTCTTACATTGTCACTTTTCCGATAAAACTTGGCAGTTTTCCCCTGAAATTTATAGGAAAATATTTGATTTTCTGAATCATCAGTGGTAGTGTCTACTTTGTGTTTATGTGAACTCCCTTTTTATGGTGTGCTGGCAGTTTCATTGATAATTTGATTATTTCTCTGGAATACACTGTGGTCTATAGAATTTTTTAAAAGTACGTACATACTTGTCTGAGTGGAATAAGTTGATTTGTTTTTCATCTGATAGTCTGCAGACTGATGCTTTGACATGCAGCCAGAACACAACCTTCATGGGAAATAATGGAAATCTGAATATTGATTATGTTTTAAATGGAGAACTCTGTTCGTGTATTAAGAATATAGAATTTATTAAAACCTGAGTTTTACAGCATATAAATAATTAACCAGCTGTATTAATTCACCTATTTTAAAAATCAGATTTTTAAATCCTTTCGGGGCCAGGGATCTGGTCTCTTCTGGATTAATGCAAAACACTGTGCTAAGTGTTTACTTCTTCTGTCAGTAAGTTTACAATTTAGTTACATCTCAAAGATAGCACTTGTCATACTATTCACTTCACCCTAAAAATATCTAGCTACTTTTATGTATTCAGATGCATATTTTATGAAAAGCTGAATCCAGGAACTGCAGGGTCTTGGCAAGTGGTTGGTAGGGGGTCCAAGCACTTGGACTCTCCTCCCTCCCTCACTGACATAAGTGCATTTAGCAGCCAGCTGATTGAGAAGTAGAACAGCCAGGACTGGAACTGGTGCCTATGTCCCAGGCGATGGATTAACCCACTGTGCCACAATGCCAGCCCCAGCTATTCTTAATAGGTACCAATAATAATAGCTTTCTTATGTAGGTGCCAGTTGTGTCACTGTAAAAGTACCAATTGCTTAACTTCCCTGGACTCTTAATTAAAAATGCAGCATCAATTTCAGAAAGTTAAAACAGCTACCTTTACTTTCACATACACACAGACACACACAAACTGTGTTTGCTAGTGTCTGTAGCCGTACCCTTCTGATTGCCTCTGAGCAAAAAGGTTTTGATCTTGTTTATTTTATTTCAATTAATTGCTTTTCCCTATAGAAAATCAAATTTGGAGAGCTCTAATAGTATGCTCTTGCTGGGCTCTCATCCTTTCTGTTTAAATAATGCAGGTACTTTGATGGAAACCTGGAGAAGCTCTTTGCTGAGTGTCATGTAATTAATCCAAGTAAAAAGTCTCGAACACGCCAGATGAATACAAGGTCATCAGCACAGGACATGCCTTGTCAGATCTGCTACTTGAACTACCCTAACTCGGTGAGTATCTGGTAGTTTAAGGCTAGCACCGACTGTATTCATTATATTAATAAAAGAAATCTTGGGGGTTAGAGGTAGTAGTGTTCTGTCAACACTAAGCAGTTTTCTGTCAGCAGTGTAGAAGGAAAGGAAGAGAAATAGGCAGAAGCTTGGTTTCCTGTATTCCTCACCCCCATTTACTTTTTATTAAAATGACTTTTCCCAAGTTGTCATTATACATTGAAATATTTCTGGAGTTTATTTTCCATGGTGGGAGGAATTACGTAATAGGTAGACAGTGAGTGAAATTGATTTTCCTCAAAATTAAAATCTACATAAATTGTTTTATTCTTTATTTGAGAGACAGAACTCCCATCTGCTGGTGCATTCCTGGTTCTGGGCTGGCAGCAGGAGCTGGGAACTCCATCCAGGTCTCCCGCATGCACTGACAGGAACCCATGTGCTTGGCCCGCTGCTGCTGCTTTTCTGAATCTGTGTTGAAGCTAGAAACACAAGCCAGAACTGAGACTGAAATGCAGGCACTTTGATGGGGGATTCTCAACTGGTAGTCTATAATAGATATTTCCAGCTTGTTTTTTAAGTAGTCAACACCCCTACAAAATGAGTTAAACACTGTTTGCTAAAGATTTTCATTTATAAAAGTCCATTTTAATAGAGATTTTGCGTATTATAAAGGGGAGCATAGAACACACAGTTGCTGTTTCTGTTACAGCCCATTTTTTTTTTTTACTTTTTTTTTTTTTAAATAAGATGATCTACTTTGGAGTATTTAAGAAAGAAATTTCTTATGCTTTAACAAACGTGGTTTTCCTGTAAAGACCTTACTTTATAGTATTTGTAGAATGAATGCAGTTACTTAGAATTCATTTTTTAAGATGGTTCGGGATGTTGAAGAAAAACGTAGTTCTGTTAAACATTGCAAGAATCTTTCATATCCCTTAGTTTAAATATTATGCAAAATTTTTTAAAGATTTATTTATTTTTGTTACACAATTGGATGTATATAGAGAGGAGGATGGACAGAAATATCTTCTTCCCGATGATTCACTCCCCAAGTGAGCACAATGGCCAGTGCTACTCCATTTCGAAGCCAGGATCCAGGAACCTCCTCCGGGTCTCCCACACAGGTGCAGGGTCCCAAGGCTTTAGGCTGTCCTTGACTGCTTTGCCAGGCCACAAGCAGGGAGCTGGGATTCAGGGTTACTGGGATTAGAACCAGTGACCATATGGGATCCTGGCACTTTTCAAGGCGAGGACTTTAGCTGCTAGACCACAGCACTGGACCCAAATATTAAGTAAGTCTTTATTAATTATTTCCTTCCAGGTCATTCTGGTTTTAGATGTTGATATATTGAAAGTTTTTCCTTTCTTGATAAATGTTAACCAAATAGTTTCATCTGTGTGCCTTTAAGAGAGCACATTTTAAAGAAGCTAGTTGATACTTCTGAGTGATCAGGGATAAGTTCTGAAACGTGAGTATATAGAATCGATGTGTTGAAGCAATAAAATAGTATTAATAATAATTATTTCTATTAAGATACTTTAGATTCATGTTTTGACCATTTCTTTGCCACTTGTATAGTTCCAAGGTTTATTAATATTTCTGTAAAGTAATACTAAGGCCTAAATAATTTGTCCCAGACTAAACCTGATTTACTCCTTGGAAGTTTTTCTCCTGTTTCTATATAGCTAGTTTCTGCTTAATTTAAATCTAATGTGAATAGTGAAGCTAAATGCTTACAAATAGCTACTTTTCCAGTGTATTCTGTTATCATCCAGCAAAACTGGAACTGAAATCTGGAGTGGAGATTTATAGTAGAAGTTCTCCTTTGTACGTGTAGCTGATGATGAATATGCCATTCATTCAGCACACGGATTGTTCTGTAAGTTAGAAACATACAGGAAAGTAAAGACATTGTTTGTCTTCAAATAATTTACATGTTAGCTAGGTAGATAAATATGATATTCAGAACAAGAAGTACTATAAGGCCCCCAAAACACAAAGCAAGGCTATTATGGGAGTATGTTGGAGGGATTCTTAGGCTGTGTTTGTTTTCTGGCTGAACTCCACATAGAAGCTGGCCTGTAAACTCACCAGAATGCTAGCTAGGGAGGCGAGTTACACAGGAATGGAATGGCAGTGTCCTTTGGGCAATATGGAATGGCATGTGGTACTCAAGGACTTCAGAGAAAAGTTAATTTCAGATTAAGAAGCAATTTATTGATGACCTTTGAAAGGATGATAAATAGTGGTGATGGATCCCTGACTCTACAGAATTGTACCATAAAATTCAAAATTTAAAAAAAAAAGAAAAAGATGAGATAGACTACACTGCATGAGCCAAAAAGTCACTAACCTAAAATGAAAGTGTGAGGGAAGTGGCAGTAATAATGTAAACAAATTATTCTTTTACTGGAAATTTATCTACGTACGGGAGAAGCAACATGGTTGAAAGGGTAACAGTGATAAGTGAAGCATGATGAAAAACAGAAGAGCAAAACTAGAGCTAATTTGAATAGTGTTTTGTTTTCCTGCTTGAAAGCATGAGAGAGCAAGGGTAAAAGTGAAAGAGAAACAGAGAGGGATGTGCAGTCAGAAGTTGATGCTGGGCCATACCTGAATCAGGAGCCCAGAGCTCCATCCAGGTCTTTCTTGTAGGTAACGCCAGCTCAAGCACTGGCGTTATCTTTTGCCTCTCTAGATGTGTTTATGGGAAGCTTACAGGAAATAACTTGATCTGGGACGTGGGCATACCAAGTGGCTGCTTCAAGCTGCTGCACAACGACAATACCTATTCCTTCTCATAATTTTTAAGACTGGTGTACTGAAGGATAATTTTCTTAAAGGTTGATGCTTTACAGAGAGGGTGGGTTTCATTTGCTGGTTCATCCCCAAATGGCTACAGTGGCTAGAGCTGAGTTGATCTGAAGCCAGGGGCTGCTTCTGTGTCTCCTACGTGGGTGCAGGGTCCCAAGGACTTGAGCCATCTGAGGCTTTCCCAGGTCATAAGCAGGAAACTGGATCAGAGTTCGTGGGGAGAGGGGATACTAAACTAATTGGTGCCCATATGCCAGTGACAAGCGCCTGTGCTGAGCTGGTTGCATGCAGCCTCATAAGGAGGGTAGTTCTAACATTCTCAGGTAGAAAACTGCTGAAGTCCCCATAAAGCTCTACTCATTTATGGAGTCAGTGGGCAGCTTAGGGTTGAAGTTCCACATTTTAATTCTCTTCAAACATTTGTACTTTTATTTGCATACACCTTCAGTGCTTTTGTCCTTTTGGAGATCGGTTTAACTTCATGTAATGCCACGTAAAAATGGGTTTGCAATAAATGCTTTTTGTCACTAAATTTATAATACTTTTGGAATTAACTGTTCTGTGTGATCTGTCCTTAATTTCCTGAACCTGTGTTGCACCCAAATTATTAGGACCTACCCTGCTCATCTTTGTTATGGCTAATTATGTAGATTCTTTTTGTTTTTGCTCTTGCTTTCTAAATCTTTTATTTATTTATTCATTTGTTTGTTTGTTTGAAAATGAGTACTTTAAGAGATCTGTCATCAGCTTGTTCACCCTCATATGACTGCAACACAAGGGCTGAACTAGGCCAGGAGCCAGGAGTTTTCTCCAGGTTTCCCACTCGGGTTCCTTGGGCTGTTTGCTGATTTCCCATATGATTGGCAGGGAGGTAGATTGAAAGTGGAGGAGCCAGGACTTGAACTTGCACTCATGGGAGCCCAGTGTCACAGGCAATAGGTTTAGCCTTACCTGCTAAACCTATTCAGAGCTTTCTTCAGCCTGGCCAGTTAATCACTTTTTTTTAAAGATTTATTTTATTTTTATTGTAAAGTCAGAAATACACAGAGGAGAAGAGACAAAGAGGAAGATCTTCCATCTGATGATTCACTCAAAAAGTGACCACAACGGCCAGTGCTGTGCTGATCCGGAGCCAGGAGCCAGGAACTTCCTCCAGGTCTCCCACACGGGGGCAGGGCCCCAAAGCTTTGGGCCATCCTCGACTGCTTTCCCAGGCCACAAGCAGGGAGCTGGATGGGAAGTTGAGCTGCTGGGATTAGAACTGGCGACCATATGGGATCCTGGGCGTGTTCAAGGCGATGACTTTAGCCGCTAGGCCACCACACTGGCCTTAGTCACTTTATAGTATTTTTTGAGTCAAGGTTGTTTACTAACCCATCGCTACATTGTGGAATGTAACCTAGGCTATAAAATATCATTTTTAGGGAAATTTTTAAAATGTAAGATTTTAAACAGATAAAGGCGGAATTGAGGACTGTGAGGAAAGGTGGTGGCTACCCTCACATCAGAAACCCTGCATGGAAGTTGGTACTTGTTCCAGGACATGTTACTGGCAGAGTGATGTAGTCCAGTGCTCTTCTGCTTCTCACCCATTGTGTCTTACACACCAGGCAGCTGCAGTCAGCCTTTATAAACTGTTTCTAGTGTAGGAAAGACTATTCTTAGTGTTCTTGTTGGTGGTTGGCATTTGTATCTCTGTGGGTAAAGTGGTAGGAGGTAGCATGTTTTCTGTTACTCCCTTTTCTCAGTACCATTCTCATCTGTTGCAGATAACATTCTGAAAAAGAACTTCTTGTGTTGTCTTTTTTTTTTCCCTTAATGAAGTTTTCTGACAGTATGAACAGGAGTGAGTTGAAGGAATAAAGAACCTGTTCCATGAGCCCCACTTGTTGAGGCCATGTACTTTTCGGTTTTCCCAAGGAGTGTCAAGTCAGACAGGAAGACAGATAACCCAGGTCCTTTTCTTGTGACGGGCCCTTGAATAGAAATTGAATGGTGTTGGCTTTGAGTGATTATTTATTAGCCACTTGACCATTAATATGTTGACTTTCCAGATTTTTTTTTGAAACAGTATAGCATGTATATATATATATTCAGCTTTTTGAAGTTTTACATTTGTTCTTGTTTTACTTTTCAAAAAGATGTGCATTAGAATTGTCGGAGCAAGTCAGAGCCGAGTCTCTTTACCGAGAGTAGTGAAATGGAACTCACTTATGTTCAATGCTATCTTACATGTTCTGTCTGGAGGACACATCCCAAGACCCACCCTCAGCCTCCTAAGACTCCCTTTGTACTTCACAATGTAGTTGATATGCATGCTGTAAGCCATATCAGAAACATCACAAGTATATTTTAAGTAAAAGCTAATCAGAAAGTGTAGCTGAATAAACACTGAACTACATATAGGAACCAAGAAAACAATTTAAAAAAACTGTCAATAACTGGTGACAAGACGGTATGGGAGTTCTTCATGTAGAAAACAAAGGGAAATAAAGAGACAGCTTTGGATTTGCAAAGAAGAAAGGAAAGTCAGAAAAATAACCAATACATAAGCTGGCAGAAGAGAGCAGGGTAGAATCATCCTGGCAGCCACAAGAGTGCAGCAGTGAAGCACTGCAGACTCGGATGAGTGTGGGAGGATTCAGTGTGGGACAGAGCAGGCATCTCCAGTAAGGCTGACCTTTCAAGAGGGAAGGAGAGATGTCGTAGCTGTCCAGGCAGAAAGTCGTTTTCCTGCCAGCTTCTGAAATCAAAGATAATTCAGAAACTCAAGACTGACATATCTCACTATTTAGAAACAAAGTGCTTCTACATAGCTGCTCCACTTTTTATCCATCTTCGTGTTAATGTACCTGGGAATGGCAGATAAAAGACCCAAGTACCTGGACCCTGCCACCTACTTGGGAGAGACCCAGGTGGAATTTTAGACTTTGGTTTTTTTATCTGGCCTGGCCCTGGGCATTAGCAACTAAATCAGAATAACAAAGTTCCTTTCCAACCTGCATTTAAAAATGTATTTATTTATTTGTCTGAAAAGCATAGTGACAGGTCTTCTATCTGCCTGATGCCTGCAATGGCCAGGGCTGGCCAGACTTAATGCCCAGAGCCAGGAACTCCATCTGCTTATACCACCTGCATCCCCTCTTGGAGTGCCTATTCAAGTCCCACCGGCTCCACTTTGAGTACAACTCCCTGCTGCCACACTGCAGACCTGAGTGGAGTTGTGGATTCCTAGCTTCAGCCTGAACCAACCTGGGCTGTTGTGATCCTTTGGGAGTGAACCAGATTGATTCTTCATTGATCAGTCTCTTTTCTGATCAATGCATCCATTTTCAAATAAATAAATCTGAAAATATATATAGTGTTAAATCTTTTTATGCTTTTAAAAGTATTACAAAGGAAATCCGAGGTGCATGCTCAGTGTATCATGCTAATTTACCTCGGCTGTCAGCGATGGGCAGTTTGTGCAGCAGTTCAAGTCCCAGCCGCTCCAATTCCAATCCAGTTTCCTGCTTATTGCTTAGGAAAGCAGCAGAGCATGACACAAATTCTTGGGCCCCTGCACCTACATGGAGACCTGGAAGAAGCTCTTGGTTCCTGGCTTGGAATCACCCTAGCTCTGTTGTAGTAAGTTGTAGCGATCCCAGAAGATAAAGGATCTCTCTCTAACTCTTAACTTTCCAGTAAAAGTGGATAAATCTTTTTAAAAATTCAGAATCAAATCTAATGAATTATTTCAATTTTGTTTCTTAAAGTTTGTCCTAGAATACATTTATGTGAGAACAAAGATGTAGACAAAAAATGCAAATGTCCACTGATAGGGAACTATAGTAGGACATCTTCATGGGCCTGGCATAGTAACCTAGTGCTGGGGTCCCATATGAGCACCAGTTTGTATCTCTGTGATTCCTTTCCTGTGTCAGCTCCAGGCCTGGCGCCCACACTCACCTGGTGGAAGTGGAGTTTTTCTCCTCTAAGCTGGGTCCCGGATCCCTGCTCCAGTCTCCATGCCTGGGGACAAGGGATGAGGACGTAAAGTTACCAAGCCTGCACAGAAGGACCAGGGCCCGGCGCTATGGCTCAGTGGCTAGAGCCTCACCCTGCATGTACTAGGATCCTATGTGGGTGCTAGTTCATGCCCTGGCTGCTCCACTTCCCATCCAGCTCCCTGCCTGTGCCAGGGTTAGCAGTCGAGGGTGACCCAAAGCCTTGGGACCCTGCGTGGGAGACCTGGAAGAAGCTCCTGGCTCTTGGCTTTGGATCGGCTCAGTTCTGGCTATTGTGGCTCCTTGGGGAGTGAAGCAACAGAGATCTTTCTGTCTGTATCTATTCTTCTTGTAAATCTGTCTTTCCAATGAAAAAATAGATATATTTTTAAAAGATATACCTGAGTGCTCTGTTGTGTTACCACATTGGACATCTGTACACGGGAGGATGTGGAGCTGTTCCACACGTACATACGTGTTAGTGCAGCTCTGGAAGAATGAGCAAGACTTAGAAGGAGCTTCTGTTTCTTGGTAGATGAGACAGAGACCAGAAAGCAGGAGGAGGGATCCTCATTATTTAGCATAAATTCAGATTCCTAAATCATAATCAAAACCTGTATTACTTAATTTAATAATAAGTATTGTAAGATATTCTTATATTGTTTTAGACCTTTTGCAAGTGTATTTCCTAGAACTTGTAATCTTAATATAGTGATTAAAACATTAAAACTTTTTTGTTTTGTGCCTGGTGCAATAGCCTGATGTCTAAATCCTTGCCTGCCTTGTCCAGGATGCCATGTGGGCACTGTTTCTTGTCCTGGCTGCTTCACTTCCCATTCATTTCCCTGCTTGTGGCCTGATAAAGCAGTAGAGAACGTCCCAAAGCCTTGAGACCCTGATCATGCATCGGAGACCTGGGAGAAGTTCCTAGCTCCTACCTCCTGGCTCCTGGTCTCAAATTGGCTCAGCTGCAGCTGTTTGCTGACAGTTGGGGATGATCACCAGACAGATCTTTCTGGATATGTGACTTCCCAATAAAAATAAATGGGGAAATTTTTTTCTTAAGGATTCTTTAATCTTTCTTTGGAGTGCAGATTTTTGAAGAGATAGGTCTCCGACCCTCTGGTTCACTCCCCAAATGGTTGCAACAGCTGGAACTTAGCTGAGCTGATCTGAATCTTGGAACCTGAAGTTTTCTACTGCTTTTCCAGAAGTGAAGCAGTCAGAGCATGAACCAGAGCTCATATGGGATGCCAGTGTCACAGGGCGGAAGGCTAGTCTGTTGGGCCACGGCACCAACCCCAGAAAGTTTTAATAATTCCTCAAAGAAACCTAGTCATACATTGTCTCAGCCTTCATTTTATTACAAGCCCCCTAGCTCTAGGTAAGCTCTGAGGCACTTTCTTTCACTATGGATCTGCCTAGTCCTTACTGAGGTAAAATGAGCAATAGTTTGTTTTTGCGATTGGGTTCTTTCTTTTAGCATAGTATTTTTAAGGTCCCTCTGACCTGTGTCTATATTCATTCTGTTTTTGTGTTGGTTTATGTTCCTTTCTGTGAATCGTCTGTTTTGTGTGTTTGCTAGTTGATAGACATCTGGGTTGCTTTTACTTTTTGACTGCTCAAACTAATGCAGCTACGAACACTTTCACATAGATTTTTATCTGGGTGCATTTTGTTTCTTTTGGGTATGTGTATACTGTGTCCTATGGTAATTCTTTTAATGTTTAGTTTTTTGAGGGGCTGTCTGATTTTTATCTTCCCCAGTGTTCCTATGGCATTTTAAATTCCCTTCAGTAGTAATATTCTGTTTTCCCACATCCTGACCAACACTTGTTATTTTCTTTTTTATTACAGCTCTACTTGTGAGCTTGAAGTACATTTCTGTAGTAGCTAATGATATTGAGTGCTTTTTATATATGTATTGGCACATGATGTATTTAGTACAAAGCTGTTTCCTGCCTTTCCTGAAATTTATAAATAATTACCAAAGATGATGTTCATGTATTTGCGTGTCTGTTGATTTTGCTAATTGAATGTTCACTTTAAGATTCCATTAGTTTTTGTGGAGTTGGACATGGCCATTGTGGGAAATGGGACCTATCAGAGCCTCATATCACTGTATATAGTGATTCTTCTGATGTCTTTGTTAAATTTCATGGTTTTTCCCACCCTGTTGTTTTGTTGTTGCAGTATTTCACTGGCCTTGAATGTGGACATAAGTTTTGTATGCAGTGCTGGAGTGAATATTTAACTACCAAAATAATGGAGGAAGGCATGGGACAGGTAAAGATGCTAATCTGTTTTTGTTGGATTTCTTGTAATGTTTAGACCCCTGTGTCAATTTAACGGTGAAGCTTTTGTGTTAACAAGTCTCAGAAAAAATGAGATTTATAGATTAAATTTATAGATTTCCAGAATAAAATACTAAATCACAACAGGGTTTTTGTGTTTACAATGGGCATTCCAGATACAGATGGATTCTAGGTTAAGTTTTTCTTGTGTAAACGTCAATATTGGAGTATCTGTCAGGCTAAGCTGTTTGGGCATTTTATCTTTTAAGTTGAAAAACTATTTACTCTTGTCAGGATTTTTAGTTACTATATGGTGATAAACAGACATGCATTGCGTTTAAGTAGAAAGGGGGTATAAAATCCCCATTAAATATCCCAGATCCTAGCAACCTGCCTGGCCATGGTATGCATTCAGTAAATATTTGTTAAATGAATACATAGTTTAAATTTCAATCTTTTTCAGACTATTTCGTGTCCCGCTCATGGTTGTGATATCTTAGTGGATGACAACACAGTTATGTAAGTATTCTTGATAGATGCTGCATGTTGCATATCAGTAAGGGGGCTAAACCAAACTAGCTTTCATTCAGCTCCCCCAAGGAATGAAACATTAAGAAGTCTGGATTTTTAACTTGCTTAAATGTACAGTCACTGTTCTGGATCTGAGTAACTGTTGGAACTCTACAGGAGGAAGTGTGTCAGTTGAGGTGCTGAAATGTAGATAAGAGTTAAAAGCAGAGAGAATTATGTGATACAACTTTGGTACAGGATTAAAGGGAGACAAGGGTTAAGAGTAGGAGCAATCAAGAGGCAGAGCTGAAAGACATCTGCTAAAAGAAGAAGGATTCATCAGCAGGAGATGTGGCCTGTGATGCAGCTGAGACAGTTTCTGGCAACTCTGTGGTGAACTTTGTGGTGAACCTCCAAAGATTCCCTGCTAAGCAGAAATGAGTTGGCCCCAGGTCGTCCTGCCAAGTTCTATGATTGACAACATCCAGGGAGAGTGTTTTTGTGGAATACTGATATTGTTCCCAAAGGCCCCGCTGTTGTGGAAAGTTCTCCTTAGAAGGAGAAAGAATGGTTTCTGAGCCTGGAATTCTCCCAGCCTCCTTTTTTCCCAGTTCAGTGCTGCTTATGCTTTAAGCGCACCTAACAGATTTTGTACCAGGTTGCTGGTTTGAGGACTTGAAGGATCCCATACAGGTTGCTTAATTAGTCCTCGGTAATTAACCATATTTAATTGTCTGTATGCAAACACTATGGTTTCCAACATGATATAATTAAAGCAGTTATATGCTGTTATGACTGACTTTAACGTCATAAGATCTGAGAAGCTGACCTGCCTTGCACAGTTTCCCTGGTTCTGTCTACTTAACATTAGTCTGATCTATTTGGAGTATGTTTGCTGTTGTTGCCAGCTTAGTAAATTGTGTTTCCATGATTGTTTTAGGCTAGTAAAAATGGTCTGTGTATCTTTTCAGCTGACTTCCTTACCTCCTTTCAGTAGCGTATTTCTACATAAGACAGGTATCCGCTCATCCATTCCACAGACATTTACTAGGAACCCACCTGTTAGCACATATGTACAAGGGAGCGAGAAAAAAAAAACGACAGTAGAGTGACTTTTCAAGAGTTTGTTTTGTTTTTTGTTTTGTTTGTTTGTTTCTTAAGATATAAGTATTTTTTTGGAAAGACAGATTTCCAGAGAGGAGATACAGAGAGAAATATGTTCCATCTGCTGGTTCATTCTAAGTGGCCACAACAGCAAGACTTAAGCCAAGAGCATCTTCCAGGTCTTCTAGGACTTCCATGTGGGTCAGGGTCCCAAGGCTTTGGGCCATCCTCTATTTTTTTTTTTCCAAGGCCGTAAGCAAGGAGCAGGGTAGGAAGTAGAGCGGGTGGTAAACGAATAGGTGTCCATATGACAGGGCGATGCTGGAAGGCAGAGGATTAGCCATTGCACTGGCCCTGTTATTTACTTTTTAAAATTTACTTATTTGAAGGAGAGACAGAGGAAGGTATCTTCTTTTTCATCCCCTGGTTCACACCCCAAAAGACCACAACAGTTTCTACTGAGTCAAGCCGAAACCAGGTGCCAAAGGACCTCTTTTGGGTCTTCCAATGGGTGGCAGAACCCAATTGTTTGGGCCATCCTGTGCAGCTTTTCCCAAATAATTAGCAGAGGGCTGGATCTGATGAGGAGCAGGGGAACTTAAACGGATGGCAGGTCTACCCACTGTACTGCAGTACTACCCCATAAGTCGGTATTCTAAGTGGGTCATAATCTCAAGGCCATGAATTCTATAGTTGCTAAAACAGAGTAGAAATTTATATATATTTATTACTTATAGCATTTTATAATAATAACTTATTATATTTCATATATTACATATTTGCATATATGATTTAATCATTTAATTACTTGTGCTTGATTCAGTAAAATACATAGTTTTTTTCCCACACTAATATCATCATATCATCCCCCGACCCCAGTATCTGAGATCCAGAGAGAAACAAAGGGAGAAGCCCTACCCAACCTTCCACCTATCCCAGGTCGTCCCTGATGCAGGACATGCTCTGAGTGTTCTTCTCAAGCAGTTTTGATCAACAGTTCTGAAATGTTGCCAGTCTTGTGTTCCAAGTACAATGAAATCTATTCAGAATTCTCTGGCTGATATAGTCTCTTCATGGTTGGGCTTCTGAGATCAGCAATTCAGTTGGAGGGATCTCCAAAGAAACTTTGTCTGAGGTGATCCCAGACCTGATTCTTGTGTTTGCTAGTACATGGTCCAGCACTGTCCATCATCCCAATCAGCTTATGCACATGCTAGTGGTTGCAATTGCTGCGTTAGTTCTGTTACCAGACCTGTTTTCCACTTGAACCAAATGGTTGTTGCAGTCCAGCCCAATCCTGCCCACTTCATACTCAGCACTCCTAAAAACCAGTGGGAGCTACAGCCTAGTCAAAGTGACTCCCCATAACCCCCACCAGGCGTGCCCCCTACCCTCGTTCCCATGCTTGCCTGTATGTACTGAAGACTTGTTCAGTCTGTCCTACATTCCATTTAGCTCTTGTACATGTTAGTGGTCATGGAAGCTTAGTTCATCCCAACCCGCCTTACTATCCAGCTCACACATATGCTGGCAGGTGCCTTTCTGTCTAGCCATGCCTGCCCCATCTTGGTTTTTGTGCTCTCCAGTCAAAGTGGTAACCCAAGAGGGAGGTGTATGCACTCTCCAGGTGATTCAGGAGTTTAACTTAACAGATTTAGTCCCCTGTGCCAGCCTCTGCCAGCTGATGCTGCAGCAAAACCCAACCAACCCACACCTACTTCGCACCAGTTTTTGCTTGCACCAGTCAGAACAGTCACCCCAGTCTGGCTTTTCCCTGATCAGCCTACATGAGGCCAACAGATATTGTAGCCCTGCTTGGTCTGGTCCGCCCCCATCCTTATTTATGCTCTCCAGTGGGAGTGGTGGTCCAGCATGGGGGAGCCCTCCAGATTCCCCCTACCGGCTTTGCCCTCTCCCTCCCTGGTTCTCATGTGTGCTGTTTGTGTGCTGCAGCCTCATCTGGTACGGCTCACCTCACCTTGGCATTCTGTAATGCGCACTGGTTTGTGTTGTGATCAATCCTGGCTCATCCAACACTGTTTTCTGGTGCTTGCATTTGCCAGCGGGTGATGTGAACTGGTTCAGCCTGGTCTGCCCCTGACCTATGCCAAATGTATACCCATGGTTTCAGTTCCCTGCCCTGGTCTGGGTTGCTCCCTGTCGTGGTTCTTGTGCTCACCTACAGCAACTGTGTCCCAACAGAGGAGTTTCCCAAGCTCCTCCATCAGAATCTCTCCCAGTGTCAGATCTCACACACACTGTTGGTTCCATGGGCCAGCCCTACTAATTCTGCCTCCTGTCCTAGCAGGAACAGTGGCCTTTCCTGACTGGCCTTCATCCATTTCCAGTCTGTACTGTTGGGTGTTTCTGCCCAGCGTAGCCTGTCCTACACTTACCCTTGTTCTCAGTTCTCACTAGCACTAGTAAGTGCTGGAGTCTAGCCCAGTTTGACATACTCCAGACCCAGCCCACACTTGTGCTGATGGACAATGCAGCCATGCCCAGACTAGACAGCAGTTCCCACTCTGGCTTTCTCATTCACCAGTGGGAACCACAACCCAACCAGGCCATCCCCTTAGCTCCCTAACCAGACTTCTTCCCAGCCATAGATCATGTGCGTGCCAGTGGTTGCTCTGACCCAGCTTGGCATAGTCTCACCTGTCTTGGCCTTTGCTTTAGATGCTGTAGCCTGGTCTGATCGGGCCTGCCCCGAGACCTAACTCTGGCTTGTGGGTGCTCACACCTGGCCTTACTCAGTCTCCTCCCATCCCTGGCTCATGCAAACTGGTTGGTGTGGTAGCCTAGCCTGCCATGACTTATGTTCCAGTCTGGTTTCTGCACTTGCCAGTGAGCTAAGGTTTGCTCAGCCCTGTCTGATCCGCCCTCTTCCAAAACCAACCTACGATATAGTCTGCTCCTCCATCTTAGCCTAGTATGAACTGGTGAATGTTTTGACCTGGCCCATCCCACACCCTGTATTAGGATGCCCATGTGGGTACTGCATCTTGGAGCTACCCAGACTATCCTTGGTCCCTGTGCCCATGGGTGTTGACAGATTCAATGGTCACACTTAGCTTGGCCCCTCACCACCCCAGCTCTTGAGCTAGGCAGTGAGACCTGCATTTCCATAGGTTTTGGCAAACATATCCCCCCCCAAACTCTACCTCCAGACCTGTTTCTCTCGCGTGTTCATTAGTGTCATGGTCCAGCATAACGTGACCTGTCCCCTGTTCCAACATTTAGTTCTGCTGGACAGGCCCTCAGCCTTCGTGTTCACGTGGGCTGGCATGTGGTCAGCAATGTTCCAAGCTAACAAGCCCAACTCTTTTTTTTTTTTTTTTTGGACAATCCTTACATATTTAGAGGAAGAAGCCCCACCCAGTTTCCCACCCACCCTAAGTCCTGGATGTGGGGCATGCTCTGAGATACTTGATCAAGTGGTTCCAATAGTTCACCATTCATGGGTCGCTGCCAGTCTTGCCACTCCAAGCACGATGTGGTTGTTGAAGAGTCCATTGATTGACACAGTCCCTTCTAGAGTCTCCATTTGCCCAGTTTTTTGCTGCCAACAGATAGCTGAGGTTGTTGCTTGACTTGTTCTGTCTTTTCTTGGTTAGGACTCTGAGTCCAGTGTCTCGACTGGGGAGATCCTCAAAGAAATTTTGAGGTATTCCCAGTCCAGATTCCTGCGTGTTCTAGTAAGAATAGGGCCCGGCACCGTCCATTGCCCCGATCAGCTGGTGGTTGCAGTTGCTGGGTCGGTTCTGTCTCCACCCGTGTCCTCTTGTAGTCCGGCCTGGTTCCGCCCTGGACACACTTGGCCCTCGCACGTACCAGTAGGAGCTGCAGCCCAGTCAGGGTGGCCCACAGTAACCCCAACCAGGCCCACCCCTTACCCTGGCTTGCCAATATGTATGGCATACTAGTCCAGTCTGTCCCAAATACCCTTCTGTTCATATACTTGCCAACGGGTGTTGCAACCTACTTCCATCCAAGCGTCTCATCCAACCGGCCCTAACGGATGTTGTTGGGTGTCTGTCTAGCCACCCCAGCCCCCTGTCCTAGTTCCCATGCCCTCCCATGGAAGGTGATGACCCAAGAGGGAGGAGCCCACTATTTCCCTCCCAGGTCACTCCCATTCCAGTTGTGCCCTCTCCAGTTGGCCCTGTGGTTCAACTCGACATGTCTAACCCTTTGTACCAGCTTCTACCAGCTGATGCTACGACCCAGCCCCAACAACCCTCACCTACTCTGATTGTAGTTTGCACCAGTGGGAATAGTCAGCCCAGCCTGGTTTTCACTCAGTCTGGTCCACATGAGGTGCGCAGGTGCTGTGTCCCTGCCTGGTCTGGTCTACCCCCTACCCAGCTCACGCTCCTCAGTGTAAGTTGCTGTTCAGCTAGGGAACCACCCCTTATTCCCCTGTCAGCTCTGCCTCCTCCCTTCCTGGTTCTCCGTGTGCTGGCTGGGTGCTGTGGCTGCATCTGGCTCAGGCTACCTCACCTTGGCATTCCAAATTGTGTGTTGCTTTTGTCACGATCGGACCTGGTTCGACCCACACTCTGTTCTGGCGTTCGGATTTACCAGTGGATGACACGAACAGATTCAGCCTGGTCTGCCCCCGACCCATGCCAAATGAAGCCCAACTCTTGAATTACCATATGGGCTGGTGTATGAGTCTGAGCCATACAGATCTTCCCATCTGTCCCCTCCAATCACCAGGTCTCAGTCCCCTTGCTCTTACCTGCAACTACAGTGGCCCTGTCGTTGAGTATCCCGCCAGATTCATTCCTCGGCTACATGTAAGGTGGCCTTGTCTATGAGTGTTCTTAGACAGTAATTCCAGACCTCCAGGACCCCAGAGCTCACCAGTGAAGCCCAGCTACTTTGTCTTGCAGCTTTGCACAAGGAGCTAGGAGCCTCTGTAGGAAGCCCTGCCCGGCATGAGTTCTCTCAGCCACAGCCACATGCCTGGGAGATTCAAACACCTGCACCTCTAAGTAGACTTACCTGGACTCCACCCTGAACTGTTTGTTTTAATTAATGTTGTCTGATCATATATCTTCATGATTTATGACGTTATTAACTAATAATTTAAAGTTTGTAAATTGTTAGTGAATTGTCACTGTGAGCTTGAGATGGATGGGGATGGTGTGCGAAGCAGGCAGGGTTAGCCTTATAGACCATTACCTTGTCTTTAGCTTTTACTGTGAGGCAACAGCGTGGGAGTTTTGGGAAGAGGACTGATAGGATCAGAGATGATTGGTTTGACTGCTGCTGTTTAAAAAGCAGACCCCTAATGTGGAACATTACTACACCAGAGCAGGACAGAGATGACAGCAGTTTAGGTCAGGATGGCGCCAAAGAAGATAGTGAGAAGAGTAAGAAATGGTTGGAGTTGAGTCAGGATTAAATATGAGGAAAAGAGATAAAGTAACAGTTCAGTAATGGCTGCAGGATTGTTTTGATCTATGTGATTAAATGATTTCCAATGAGAGTAGGTATTACAAAGATGTTAATTATAATACTGTAACTCATGTGGTTCAGATGTCTATCAGTGGGGAGGTGGAGTGACATAGTTTCTGGATGGTTTATGAGTCATGCTGATAAATCTGGTAATAATGTCCCTCTGGATTCATTCCTCACAGGGTACAACAGTACATGTGATTAACTTTCTATTGCATTATCCTGTATTGACTTATAAACGTCTAGATTTATAAAATGTTGCATTATTACTCTTCCTTCCTGATAGTCACAGATGATTTTTCTTTATATTTGAATATAGTTTGTATATCAAAAGCGGAAAACTTTTTTTTTTAAGATTTATTTATTTATTGGAAAGTCAGATATATAGAGAGGAGGAGGAGAGACAGAGAGGAAGATCTTCTGTCTGATGATTCACTCCCCAAGTGAGCGCAACAGCTGATGATCCGGGAACTTCTTCCGGGTCTCCCACGCGGGTGCAGGGTCCCAAGGCTTTGGGCCATCCTCCACTGCTTTCCCAGGCCACAGGCAGGGAGCTGGATGGGAAGTGGAGCTGCCAGGATTAGAACTGGCGCCCATATGGGATCCCGGTGCGTTCAAGGCGAGGACTTTAGCTGTTAAGCCACGCTGCTGGGCCCGGAAAACTTTTTGTAAAGGAATATATTATTATTAGCTCTAAATTTAAATCTTTTTTTAAAAAAGAGTTTTATTTATTTTTATTACAAAATCAGATATATAGCGAGAAGGAGAGATAAGAGAGGAAGATCTTCCGTGAGATGATTCACTCCCCAAATGAGTGCAACAGCTGGTGCTATGCCGATCTGGAGCCAGGAGCCAGAAACTTCCTCCAGGTCTCTCACATGTGGGTACAGCGTCCCAAAGCATTGGGCTGTCCTCGATTGCTTTCCCAGGCCACAAGCAGGGAGCTGGATGGGAAGTGGAGCTGCTGGGATTAGATCTGGTGCCCATATGGGATCCTGGTGCATTCAAGGCGAGGACTTTAGCCACAAGGCCACACCGCCGGCCCCTCTAAATTTAAATCTAATGTTCATTTTTTCAAGGCATCATGTAAGCATGCATCATGGTTTAACATTAGCATTAGTAAAACAGTCCTTATGTTTACTGCCATAGCGCTCTAGTTAGCCAGGTATTCACTCATACTCAGGGGTGATTAGACACAATTTGACCCTGTGCTCAGCATATATAGTAGGTGTTGAGACCAAGTCAGTTTGTTTATCTACAGAGCTGCCATCTGCTAGGAGCATGGGTTTCATTGCAGTTTTCAAAGGAAGGTGATAGCAGAAGGTTTTTGTTGCAAGAATTAGGTCACAAATGACCAGAGTGAGTGACTTTTAAGTAGCCTCTTGGGCTACAGTTGGGTATCAGAAATGGTTAGGGTCTCATATCAGAAACAATGTAAATAATAGTATGTGTGAACTTGTTTGGCAACCAGGACATCTGACTGGGTCTCATGCTTTATTATAATATAAAACTCTTTAATTGTTTTGAAGTTTATGATTCACAGTATTGTGTAACCATCATCCTCGTCATTTAATTTCAGGTTCTTTGCATCATCTTATTTCCCATTATGCGATCAGTATTCACTTCCCGTCCCCTTCTCCCCTCATCATAGTAGTAGCACTTAGCTGTTTGCTGTCTGGGTATATGCCTGTTCTGGACATTTTATATTGATGATGTCATAAAATGTGACCTTGTGACTGGTTTCTTTCTCTTTTAAGATTTATTGTATTGGAAAGGTTGATTTAGAGGGAAAAGGAGAGACAGATCTGCTTATTGGTTCATTCTTCATGTGGCTGCAAAGGCCGGAGCTGAGCTGAAGCCCGGAGCTGGGAGATTCCTCCAGGTCTCCCACACGAGTGCAGAATGCCCAGGCTTTGAGTTGTCTTGTGCTGCTCTTACACGAATCATACGAACTAGTGCCCATATAGATCCTGGCACATTCAAGGCGAGAACTTTAGCCACTAGACTACCGCGCCAGACTCTGTAGACTGGTTTCTTAGGCTCAGCGTCTTTTCAGCAGTTAACTTTTTAAAAAATCACTATTTAATTTTGAGTAACTGCAGGCACACAAATATTTTTTCAGGCCCTAGTTTGAACGTTTGCGAGATGTGAAGGAGATATTTATTGAACCCTTTCTATAGGCCAGGCACTATGCTGGATGCAGGAATCCTTTCTGGGTGTCTAAAATGATAAAATCCGTGAACGAGATGTCTTGGGTGCCATAGCAACTGAGAGGGAATCTACATCTAGCTGGTATGGGGAATTAGGAAAGGTGTTCTCAGTGAGTTTGGCTGAAGTCATACCAGGACACTGCTAGGTCTTCCATTTATTGAGTACTTACTGTTATCCAGGCACTTTTCTCATAACTCTGTTTTTGCTGTGTGTTTACAGATTAGTCATAATCCCTCAGTTCATAGCTAAGGAACTGGGAGGCTGCTCTGGCCTGTTCTCTGCTAGAGTCTCCTACAGACACATTGGGAAGGGTGGTGTTTGCTATTAGTGAAGAAAATCAGAGGTTGTGCTTGAGACAGGAGTGCATTGAACATGATAGGGTGGAGTTTTATGGGAACAAAGTGGCAAGTAGACTGTGGAGCTCCAGACTGAGGCCAGGAAATACATTGAAATGAATTAGATTGGGCTGCATGCAGGTTAAGTTCTTCCTGGGTTTTTCAGTGGTTCTGTCTGCTGCCTTCCACACCTCCCACTCCCTGCACATTTTCATCTATTTTCCTAAACACACTCAGAGATGTACTTACCATAAATCCATTAAGCCTCAAACTTAGCTTCAGGGTTCCTCACTTTTGTGGTCTCATGTAAGTGTAAGTAAGTCTTGGAGATTGACTGTGATTGTAGAGTTTTATTTGGACAGGAATGGCAGCCAGGTCACAGGCAGTAAGCATTTTTGTTTTTTAACTGCCAGGAGTTCTCAGTAAAGGCCCTCAAAATTATATAAGCCTTAGATGTCACAAAATGTGGATCCATTACTCAATATTTTTGTCAGTAGCATCTCTCATTTCATAGCACTGACTGAGATGGAGTGTAAAGGAAAGGGCCAAGAATTGCCATCTTTTAAAGCACAGCCTCAGCTTGGCAGTGCTTGGTAAGTTGTTAGAGTGTAATATGAACTGCATGGAATAGGACGTTTAGAGTGTAAGGAGCATGGGGAGCAAGTCTACCAAAATAGAACTCTAGGGACTTTGAAGCAATTTGTGACGTTGTATTTTGTAAATGTTGGAAATAATCTCTGCAGAAAGCTTCTTGATAAATGTTTTGTTCTTGGTTTCAGGCGCTTGATCACAGATTCAAAAGTTAAATTAAAGTATCAGCATTTAATAACAAATAGCTTTGTAGAGGTAAGTGATTTAAAAATTCTCATGCAAAATTCTGCTTATTAATGTAAATTCTATTGAAGCATTTTGTCCCTTTTTAAAAAAGATTTATTTATTTTATTTGAAAGTTATAGTTTACCGAAAAAAGAGAGAGAGGTATTCATTAGTTTACTACCCCAAATGGCCGCAATGGCCCAAGCTGAAGTAATTAGAAGCCGGGAGCTTCCTCTGAATCTCCCATGACAGACCATTAAGACAAATCTCTTCATAGTTGTTGAACTTTGTTTTTTGTTTTGTTTTGTTTTTTGTAAGATTTATTTATTTTTAGTGGAAAGGCAGATATATAGAGAAAATGAAATGCAGAAAGATCCCCCATTTGCTGGTTCACTCCCCGAGTGGCTGAAACAACTGGAGCTGAGCCTATCTGAAGTTAGGAGCTTTTTCTGGGTCTCAGACATGGGTACAGGATCCCAAGACTTTGGGCCGTTCTCAGCTGTTTTCTCAAGCCACAAGCAGGGAGTTGGATGGAAGTAGAGTAGCCAGGATGTGAACCAGTACCCATAGGGAATCCAAGCACTTGCAAGGCAAGGACTTTCAGCCAGTATTGGCTACTATGCCAGGCCCAATTCTTGACCTTTAACGGCCAAATTTTTATAGTGTTCTTCCTTGCAATGATGTATCTTTCTGTGTTCACTCATGTTTAAGAGAATGCAAGGGGGTCGAGGGAGAAAGGGCAGGAAAAGAAAGAGAGAAAGAGATTATCCATTCTGGTTCATTCTCAAAATGTTTGCTCCTGGGCCAGTCTGAAGTTGGGAGCTTCATCAGGGTCTCCCATATGTTTGAGGAGCCTAAGCAATTGAACCATCTGCTGCCTTACCAGGCCATTAACAGGGAGCTAGATCAGAAGTGGAACACCCAGCACACAAACCAGCATCCATGTGGGATTCCAGCACCATAGGTGGAAAATTAGTTTGCCAAGCCATTTATTTTGAGATTGTCAGCAGACTTTTGAATTTTACGACAGAGTGTTACTCAAGCTGATTTTTCTTCCATGATAAGAATACTTTTAAGGGCCTGCACATTGGTTCAACTTGTTGATCCTCAACCTCCAAGCACCAAGATCTCGTATGAACCAGTGTTGCTAGCTGCTCCGGTTCCCATGCAGCTCTCTGCTTATGACCTAGGAAAGCAGTCAAGGAAGGCCCATAAACCTTGGGACAGTGCACCTGTGTGGGAGACCCAGAAGAAGCTCCTGGCTCCTGGGTTTGGATCTGCTCAGCTCCTGACATTGAGGCCACCTTGGGAGGGTTGCACTCTGTCTCTCCTTCTGCCTGTAAATCTGCCTTTCAGAAAAAGCAAAAAAATTTGTAATGGTATTTGCCTTTGAGGAGCTGAGATTATTTAGAACATCACACAGTATACCCGTTAACTTAGACCATACTATTCTGTCATATCTGTACACTATCTTTTGTTAGCACCATATGTAACATTCTTAGTATATGTGCCGCTTAAGTCAGTTTGAGTGAGAGGCATCCATATGTGGATTCATTCTCACAGTGCCTGAGGCTTGGTCAGGCTTAGGGCCTGGAGCATGAACCTCCATCCTGGTCTCCCACATGGGTGACAGAAGCCTAATTGTTTGTGTTATCTTCTGCTGCTTCCCTAGCCAGTAATCTGGGAGTTGAATTGGAAATGGAGCCTAAGAACTTCAAACAGTGCTCATGGAATGCTGACATCATAGGTAGTGGCTTTATCCACTACACCAGAACACTGTCCCCACTGTAAATACTTTGATGCTTGTTAATGAGCACTTAAGGATGATCGGAGTTTTCCAGTTGGATTTTGAAGATAAAGTCAGGAGCTATTGCATGTATATTATTAAATTAGATGTTTAAGGGATTGATAACTTTGGGAAAACCGTGTATGCAGGAACATAACTCTGAGTAACATTTCAGGTTTTCTGTTGCTTGTGTACCAGGATGTCTTTCATCATGACTTAATTTGCTTTCATTTTTAAATGTACTAATTTGTGTTTTAGTGCAATCGACTGTTAAAGTGGTGTCCTGCACCAGATTGCCACCATGTTGTTAAAGTCCAATATCCTGATGCTAAACCAGTTCGCTGCAAATGTGGACGCCAGTTTTGGTAAGTAAGTGATTCCTTTCTGTGTATTTTTGGCAGTGAAATCTTAAGAGCTTCAGCCTGAGGAAGAGAGGTGAGTGATGTTATTTTAATATGTATAGAGTGCTGGGTCCTCGATTGTATTTTTAATGTGAAATGATTCAAACAAAGTGAGGAAAGTGATGGTGAATACCTGAATACATACTTCTAGCTTCATCAGACACCTGCCTTTGAATTCTTTGCTTCCATATTCCATCTCATTTTCTCTTTTGCTTTTCCTGCCTTCATTTAAGTCATGTTTCTTCCTTTTAGCTTCATATTTTGCTTATTTGTGTTAATTCCTTATTTAAACACTTAATTCATTGTATATGCCATGCACGTATAAAAACAAATTGTCACTAATACATATTTGGGGAATATTTATTTAGCCCTTTTATTTCTTGGCTTGTAATATATCTGCATGGCTGAGTTGTATGAATTGATTTACTATTTTCCTTTTTTAATGATCATCAGTGCACTGGTTGTAAATTACATAATTAACCTACATAATCAAATTTTAACTGTTTTTCATTTGTGTTAAGTAAAAGATTGAGTATGTATCAGTGAATAAGTGTATACAACTTCTCGTTACAATCCAAGCCACCCTAGTAACAATTTTAAGAAGTCACATCTTCAAGCTTGTAGTCATCCTCTTTGTTGGAGTTTATTTTTTTATTTGTTAGAGTGGCAGAGACAGACAGAACTACATTGCTTTTGCTTCCCACGTTCTTGCAAAGACCAGTGCTGGGCCATGTCAAACCTGGGAACAGGGAACTCAGTCCGGGTGTCCAGAGTGGTAGAAGGGCTTAATGACTTGGGTATCTACCTCCTTTCACAAGGCACCCCACCTCCCAGCCCTTTCCTGGGAGGTGCTTTTCACTTTGCTCTTTACCTGGTCACAGAAAAAATACTTTGAAATTTGTATTATTGAGTACTATTTGAATGAAATTTCAACTGAATAAAAGAATTTGGGGGGTGGGGAAGAAACAGCAGCTTGAGTCATCACTGCTGCATTCCAGCACCCATGGTTAGATTTCTTTTCAGGTGTGTTAAGTGCAGCCTCCATGCCAGCCCTACCACATACTAGATCTTGAAATAAAACGGACTTGGTTTCTCCTCATGTTTGCTGTCACTAGTCACTGGTTCCTTTTACTTATTTTAAGCAGGGAGGACTTAAATTTTGTCTAATTCTTTTTGTCACCAGCTTCAACTGTGGAGAAAACTGGCATGATCCTGTGAAATGCAAGGTGAGTATGCCTGGCTTTTATACCTCTAAGTAATGTAGTGAAATCCTGGAAATAGTGCCCAGCAGTTTTGTTATTTATCTGTAGATAGAAGGTACCTGTTTTTCTGTGTGTATTTCAGAGAGCATTCCTGAAGACAGATCAGTTGCTCCTGATCAGTTTGGCGATGCCATGATGAGGCACCTCCTCTGGGATGCTTTATTCCCCAGGGATGGTGCAATATCTTACCTGGGCTTCAGTCAGAGAAAATCCTCCTTTCATGAGATGGACTAGAAACAGGGCATTAAAGCTGGTTGAGGAGCAAGTCAGCGTAGTGATGAAAGTCCATTGACTGGGTTATATTTAAGCTAACTATAGTGTGTACTAAGGCAAGTTGTTACTTTTTTTTTAGTGTTTTGGTGTACTCTAACAGTTGTTGTTTTTAACAGTGGTTAAAGAAGTGGATTAAAAAATGTGATGATGACAGTGAGACTTCAAATTGGATTGCAGCCAATACAAAGGTTGGTGTTTTGCTTTAGTGACTACTAGCAGTGACACTGATGAGACTGTTGTACCACTGATAGCACAAGCATTAAGTTTATCTGCTATGAGCCTTGCTCTAGTTGTCATCAGTTATAAAGCTCTGGTTGACTATGATTGGGTTTGGCTGCTGCGTTGTAACGTTTATTAGCATAGCTTGGCTCTGCTAGGCTAATTCACATTTCGACCTTCAATCCCCAGAGCTTTACTTTTAGGAGTCACTCTTTAGGGAGGGTTGGAGCAGAGTGACTTAGCAGCTGTTTGTATTATGTTCCTTAGCTGGCCTTAAGAAAACAGTTGCTTCCTATCTACCTCTTTGTTAAGCTTCTAAAATATGAATTATTAATAGATAGAGCACTGATACAATTTTTTTTTTGAGGTGCACTATAGTTTCAATTACCAGTTTCTTTGTGGAGATAAAGTACTTTGACTAGAATGCGAGTTCTGTTGAACCACACATCTTGGGTATCATGAAATGATGAGTATTTGCAAGTGTGTGGCCTTCTGGTACATCAATTAAAAATATTTCATTAGTTCCCTTCCTTTTTTTAAATTAGTCTTCTTCTAACTATGTGTTTACAAGTGTAAGTTTCTGCCTTGTGTTGACATTGTTGCCAGTCAGTAAACTGAATTGAGTCACATGAAATCTATGGCCACATCCTTGAGGACTGTGTGGTAGAAATCAATAGTATTGTGATATTTAAAGTCCTAGTCCAGCATTCTTTGGGTTGTTTTTCCTGTTGAGTTGTAGTAGTAGTAGTAATTATTATTAAATACATTATTAAATGTATTATTGTTGTTATTATTATAGATTGAATTGTCTCTGCTGGGTATCAGTGTCTTCCCAGCATTTTGAGGGCTTGTTTTTAATTAATTATCTCAGAAATGTAGAATTAAGCATTTTAAATTAGAAATGTACTTTTTGGGGAAATTGTAAAATTTCTCATTTGGGTGATTTCAAAGCGTTTGAAATTGTGTTTTATGGCAATGTAGTGTAGTTTATTTCACAAAGGAAGCAAGTCTGTATAAATGATAATATTCTGGGCGATACTTCCTTCCTACGGAGTTGTAGACATCAAGCAAATAGAGCCCAAAGCACAAGTTTACATCTTTGATACAGTATAATAATAAAAGACCCCTGAAGTTCTCTTATTTAATGTGGTCCCTATAACATAAAAGGTCAAAATGAACTGAATTTAAAACATGAGTATTTTCCAGAGAAACTTAGAAATTCACTGGCCACAAAGTGAATTTACAAATCAGGTCCCAATTTCTTGGCTTGCCTCACTCTTTAGGGGCTGTGTTTCTTGAATTTTGGTTCCTGCTCTGCCATTTATTACCTGTGTAATCTTGGACTGATTTCATGCTTTTTGTCTCATAATTCATCTTAATAAGGGACTGAGAATAGTGTCAGTACAGGAATTATAGTTGATGCATATAAAACACTGAGAAAAGAGTGTTGGTTATAGGAAGTAGTAATTATATCTACATAGTACTAGATATCATATATATTTAATGAGTGAATTATTCTTTAGAATTATTTTTAGGGTTTGAATAAAAGTTCTTAAACTATGTCCCTCTATCCCACTTAGAAAAAAAAAAGTCAAATTTAACATTATAAATGCTGGTAATAATGATAACAGCTTATTTTTAATAATGCTTAGTAAATATTTGATGCTGTTCTAAGTGCTTTACATGTATTGGCCAAAATCGTCAACTAGATCTACAACTGACTTTTTCTCAGTGGTAGTATTGCAACCTAGTGTAGCGTTGACACCAACTTTACAGTTTCTCTTCATAGGAATGCCCCAAATGCCATGTCACAATTGAGAAGGATGGCGGTTGTAATCACATGGTCTGTCGTAACCAGAACTGTAAAGCAGAGTTTTGCTGGGTGTGTCTTGGCCCTTGGGAACCACATGGATCTGCCTGGTAGGTGTGGAAATGGAAGAATGTGTTCACATGAGCATGTGATATGTGCCGCATGTTGCAGAGCAAATTTCTGTGCAGAGATCTCCATCTACCTGGAGGACTAAAAGAGAGTAGATGCCATCTCTAGTCAGAGATATGGACAAGATTTGCACGAGAGGGATTAATAAGGCATGTTCTTTAATGGACAAAAAAAAATGAGATGGGCTTTAAGGAAGCCCAACAGTCCATTAGTTGAAATACATTTAGGGTTAAATGTCCAACAGCATGGACAAAAGTGAGAAGAGCTGTGGGAATGATCTCTCTAAGCCAGAACTGAGCATGAACAAGTTGTTGGCAAGACCCCCTCCCCCAATGCTACAAGTGTGATTCATCTTGTGAATCATTGGCAAAATATTTGTCTCAAACTTTTAACAATTTGGAAGTTGTCCAATAGAATCCCCATTTTTAACTTACCTCTAGAATTTAGGAACTATCCTGTATTCCTATTTCACAGCAGTCACCTGAACCTAGGTAGCAGCTGTTCAGGTGGAGACTTTATCTTACGACTGAGACCTGATATCATTTGCATGACATTCATTGCTGGGCGTCTGTGGAATTTTTTCTAGGACCTCCTCTGGTGCCAGAATAACATGTCTCAGTCTTTTTAATGAAATGGCGTAGTGATTGTAATGTACACACTCCCTTCTGCGTGCTTGAGTCATCTCTAGATTCCTTACAGAGCAAGTGCTGATACGATGTGACTGCTGTGTGAATAGTTGTCACACTGTGTTGTCCAGGGAATGAGGAGTGAAACAGTCTGTATATGTTGGTGCACATTTAAATTTTCTTACCCCACTTACTTTGAATCCTTGGTTGGTCAAATCCAGAGAGGTGAAACCTGTAGAAGTGGAGGACTGACTTTATCACATAGCACCATATATTCCTTTATTTCATGAATATTCATTAGTTTGAGAAAATGCAAATGAGGGTGAAGATGCTTTCATACTTCCTGATAATACTGAAAACAGTCCTGTTACAATACTGGTGTTCTACTCCACTAATTGGTGTTGCCTAGCTGGTCCCTGTTGACATTTGGTAATTGTGTGGAATAGGAAACAGTTGGAAAATAAGCTGGCACTTAGAATAGTTTGAATATTGCCACAAGCATTTAAAGGTTGAGCATGAGCAAAGGTCTTAGTTGAGATGAGTAGTGTCTATATTGTGTGATTTACATAAATTATCTTGTAAAGGGTGAGTAGGAGGGCAGGGGAGGATAGTATGAGACCAGATGAGGAAGGCCTGAACTAAGGATGAGACAGTGGCAACTCTTTGGCTCAATATTTCTCTGACTATAATTCCAAGCTGTTTGTTTTGGCGGAATTCAAGAAAATATGTTCTTGTCATACAAGAAAGAATGGGAGGGGTGAGAGTTGTTGCTTAGCCAGACAGATATTCTCAATTTTAGGAATATGGATTGGAGGGGTAGTGTTCTCCAAAACGAATTCTATCGTACACTTTTGTAATGAAACAAACCTAATGAACTGTGGACAATAAGAATTATTTAAAACTCCTGCTTGTGCAATGACAGCTCCACCTTGGGGTGAGCTGTGCTAAAACCTGAAAAGGACACAGCAGATGATGGGCACAGAGCATAGAGAATGGCCTACACTGGTATGTCTGCAGTGTTGCCTGTGCCTTGCCCTCACCAATGCTCATATGCTGCTTTTTCCTACTTGGATCATCAGCTACTTCAGAGCCTTCAAGTTAGCAATGCAAGTAGCACTGTCAGTTATTGGAGTTACAAGTACAGACAAATCTGAAACAATTACTTTTCCATCCCTAAAACCTTCAGTAATATTGGCAAAGTCTATAATGTAATGAGGCTTGTAACTTTGTTAAATATCAAAAGGAGAATTTCTAAGGATGTTATCTGATTCAAAGCAATGGTGCTAATAGTTGATGAAGGGGAGTTATATACTGGTACGTTGAGTGATTGCTAACAGGACAGAGTTATCTTGGCATAATAAAGATAAGCTAATATGTCTTCTGGGGTAAATCAACTCGTGACTTAAAAAGTTGGGAATAAGTTCGATGAGGCCTTAGTTATTTCTGTGAGCAAGTATGGAAAATAGTTATTGGAAAGACTGAAATCAGGTAAAATACCATCTGAAGTTTTGCAAGCTACAAATAAACCAAATGACTTTATTTTCCTCTTATGTAAAATCCTAGATCAGTTGGTATTATTAGGATGATGGAAAAGAGAATACTTTCTAGATTTCAGCAAGACTTTCCATGGTGGGTTCAGATTTTGCTGGCCAAGGCAGAGGTATTTAAGATCACTTGAATTTTATTTCTTGGAGTCTAGGTAATGAAATAGTCTTCCTGGTGTGGAGCACTGGAAAAGTTTGCTTGGCATGGTGTGTCTGCGGTGCTCTACTGGATTCAGTATATATGGACTTTTTGGTTGGTTTTATTGGTGACTTGCTTGAACTAATACAAGAATCTTATATGCATTTGGGGGTAATATTGAGATGATGAATGATGATTAAAATCATGAAGAACTTTATAGACTGTAGCAGTGGTTTCCATTCTATAAAATTTAAATTCAGAATTCTTTAATCCTGAAAACATCAGTTAAAAAGATTCCAGGAAGCATGTGGGCAGCATGGGCCTCAGCTGGCAAACAGGCTTAAGATTAATTCTCAGCTTTTAGATACTGCAGCGTGCTGGTTATCCTGTCTAAAAGCAGGTTTTCATTGCTCAGTGGGCATAACAATACACACTTCATAAGGTGTACTGAATGGGATCAGATATAAAAGTATCGATTTTAATTGTTTAGGTTTGTGGTGAGCGCACTGGTAAGTCATGGAGGCTCCCATGTAAGAGGGCTGACAACCAGGACTAGGAACATCTTGGTCTGAACTCATCCCCACTCTGTAACAGGGGCATCTTCCCACACTTTATTGTTTGGCTTTTGGTGATTTATAAATTATATTAGCATGTAAAGCACATAGCACAGTGTCTGATACATAATTTACCATCAGCAGCAAGTTATTTCATAGGTTTACAAAATAGCAGATAAGAAAGTAACTCTGGAAAACAGAGTGTTTGCTTTAAATAAATAGCAAGTGGCCCATGAGAAGATCCTTTTCTCCAACAGAAGTTCCAGGTTACTGTATATTCAAAGGATTATGGGTAACCCCATTTGGAATGGAGCACATTAGAGATAGGGCACTAATACTTAATAGTCTGCTATTAAAGAGAAATTTTAAACATTAAGTGTAGGTTAAGTTCAACAGTTTTGTTTTAATGGTAGAAATTTGGATATTTTAACACCTCAGTTTGTAATAATCTTGACTCTAGATTATCTCTAAATCTAAGTTAAAGTTCTGTGATTTGTTATCTTTTCATTGAATGGTGCCTTTATGGAATTATGTTAATTTACTTTAAGGTACAACTGTAATCGCTATAATGAAGATGACGCAAAGGCAGCAAGAGATGCCCAGGAGGTAAGTACAGTTGTTAGAAGGCACTTGAACAGAGATGCTCATTGTGTGTCTATTAGAAAATAGCAGGTTTCAACTCAAGATTTCTAGGATGGCACTCTGGCCCTTTTACTATCTAAGTGGAAAGGGAATATTATTATTATTATTTTTAATTTTTATAAAATTTTATTTTGACATTCTTTACATAGTTAATTAGGGTAAGATGGTTCAAGGGCTACATGAAAGTGGATAATACTAGTATGTTTTCCATATTGTTACCTTCATGTTTAAAGGGGGGTATTTAAGGGAGAAGGCCCACCCAATTTCCCACCCTCCCCAGGTCCCGGATGTAGGGCATGCTCTGAGGTTCTTGCTCAAGTGGTTTTGATATTGCAACAGTTATGAATCGCTGTCAATCTTGCCACTCCAAGCACTATGAGGGCTTTGAAAAATCCACTGATTGACATAGTCCATCATAGCTTAGATGGTTGGTTGACCTGTTCTGTCTTCTCTCTTTTCTTCGTTAGGGTTCTGAGTCCAGCATTTAGATTAGGAAGATCTCCAAAGAAACTTCTTGTATGTGCTAACAAGTACAGGGCCTGGCACCGTCCATCGCTCCAATCAGCTGGTGGTTGCAGTTGCTGGGTTGGTTCTGTTTTCACTCCCGACTTCCACTGGAACCAATGGGTGTTGCAGTCCAGCCTAGTTCTGCCCAGCACATACTTGGTCCTCACATAAGCCAGCGGGAGCTGTAGCCTAGGTTGGAGCGACCCACAATAACCCCCAGCAGGCCCACCCGAAAGGGAATATTATTGAAAAAAGATTATTTGGGGGCTGGTGTTCAAATGCAGTAGTTTAAGTCACCACTTTTGATGACAACATCCCAGTTCAGGATGCTTGTTCAAGGCCTGGCTTCTGATCCAGCTCCCTGCTAAGGCACCTAGGAATGAATCACAAGGGCTCAGATGCTTGGGCCCCTTCCCCTCCTGTGAGGAGCAGGATGGAATTCCTGGCTCCTGACTTCTTCCTAGGGAAGATATCCTTCCCTCCCCTCTATCTGTCCAAACCCGTTATTCCCTGCCATGTGTGTGTGTGTTTCTTATTTGTTTGCTTTGTTTTACTTAATTATATAGTCCAGATTGAGGTTTTGGTGGAATCTGTCAAGATGTATCCCTAACCCCTTGTCCCTGGCAGGGTAGCATTTGTTAAATGGCTCTGCCACTATATATTGGCAGTAGACTGTTCTCTGTTTTATCCCTATGGTGTTATTCATAAGGGTATTCTAATAGGTGTGGATCAGATTCTACAATTTTCAGTCTGGAAATTTCATTGATAATCATAAAATCATGGAATTTTAGTTTATATGTTTATCCATTTTTTTAAATGCTTCAGTTATCCCAGAAACACTTTTTTCCCCAGTCAGAATGCCACCAGAAACATAAGTTGTATTTCCTTGTCATTGGTTTTTGTTTTTTGAAATTTATTTCTGATAAAAACTAATAAATATACATATTGTCAGAAATTAAAGTTCTGGACTTGATGAAGATAGCTCAGTGGCTAAATCCTCACCTTGAACATGCTGGAATCCCATATGGGCCATGGCTACTGTCCTGACTGCTCCACTTCGCATTGAGCTCCCTCCTAGAGGCTTGGGAAAGCAGTAGAGGATAGCCAATGCCTTGAGACCCTGTACCATCCCAGGAGTCCTGGAAGAAGCTCCTGGTTCCTGGCTTCAAACCAGCTCAGCTCCGGCTTAGGCCACTTGGGGAATTATCCATTTCATTGAAGATCTCTCCTTCTGTCTTATTCCCTATTTCGTTAGTTTCTACTTATTTCTTTAAAATATTTATTTTCTATTTAAAAAGCAGATAGAGAGCTTGGTGTGGTAGGCTAGCATCTAAAGTCCTTGCCTTGAACGCATTGTGATCCCATATGGTCACTGGTTTTAAGCCCTCTCTCTGCTTGTGGCCTGGGAAATCCAGCTCTCTCTGCTTGTGGCCTGGGAAAGCAGTTTCCAAAGCTTGGGACCCTGCACCCACGTGGGAGACCTAGAAAAAGTTGCTGGTTCGTGGCTTCAGATTGGCTCAGCTCTAGCCGTTGCGGCCACTTGGGGAATAAATCAGCAGATGGAGGATCTTTTTCTCTGTCTCTCCTTCTCTCTGTATATCTGACATCGCAATTAAAAAAAAAAAAGATCGAAAAGTTAGATTTTGTAATTAAAATGATGTTTGGATTCTTTTACAAGGGGAAGAAAATTAATCCCTGTTACCAAAATCTGTATAAATGTAAAATGACATGTAAAGTCTTATTCTGTTAGACAACTATATAAGCAATCCAGGAGAACTGTGGAATCAATGATACTCAACTTTATATTAACTTTAAATTTGGGAGCTGTGTCATTCCCTTGGAATGTGAGTATAGCCTGTCCTAGTTGGGCTGACTATATCTTATATCAGAATCCTAGATTTGAGTTCTGACCTCGATGCAACCTTGGGAGACCATGGTGATGGCTCCTGTTGTCTCCTGTCACCCCCGTTGGGAAACCTAGATTGGAGTCCCCAGCTCCTGACTTCAGCCCATCTTTGTTCTGGTTATTTCTGGGCATTTGAAGAATACATCAGTGTGTGGAATTCTTCCACCCCTGCATCCCCATTTCTCTCTGTGTGTCTACATCTCAAGTATAAAACAAGCAAACATTGTTTGAGTTTGCTACAGTGAATCATGATTTGATTTTTGTAAAATTTATTATTGTTTTATTTCCATCACTTTTATTTAGTTTTTATCGTGTGTTTTGTGTTTCTGTTTGCTTTTTGGTACAGGGAGCTCCCATCCATCCATTCACTCACTAATTTCTTAAGTTCCTGCAATGGTCAGAGCTGAGCTAGGAAGGAAAGCCAGGTCTTCCCATGGGTGGCAGGGACCCTGTGCCTGAGGCAGGGATGGAGTGCAAGTATCCCACCTGGCATTGTTCACCAAGCTGGCCAAATGCCTGCTCACGTGATTTTCTTGCTAGCCAGTACAGTTGAGTGAATAGTCATGGTTGCCAATTTTAGCCATTTCACAAATGCAAAAGATAAAGTTAAAATTTGGTTTTCAGCTGCAAGAAATTCATTTAAATAATTGTGTAGATGGTCAGATTTTGAAAATTGAAAAATTGTTTACTGTTGAAAAACTTTATGATTTTTCTGAAACCAAGTTACTTGTTATAACTACCCAATTGGCTAAGACAACAGAAGGTAAGATTGATTGCAAGCATGCTACACTTGACCAAAACTGAAAACAGCTTATCTGGGACAGAGAACTACCAAGGGATTCTTAAAACAATTAAGTAACTAATTTACAGAGATATCTCCCATACATTGGTTCGCTCCACAAATGACTGTAGCTATCCAAAGCTTGCAGCCAGAAGTTCTTTTCAGGTTACCCACGTGTGTACAGGGAGCCAAGAACTTGAGCCATCCTCTGCTGTAGGGATTAGCTTGGTACGTACACCATTGCCCCAGTCCATGTGGATCTTACAGGTAGTTTCAGCAATCATTAGTCTTACAAGTTTCAGATCCTTCAGGACAAATTATGGGTAGTGGATATAGCAGGCAGTTTGATAACTTGTCTTATATCGCACTTTGTTCCTTTAGCCATCATGGGTAAACAAGGGCCAGCACTTTCTCTGACATCCTCTTTGGGTCTGCGTGTTTGCTTCTTCTTTTACTTGGTTTCCATGAAGATGGCACTAAAGCTGAGAGAAGACAGTCTCTAGCCTGTTTGTATGGGCTGTTTTTGTTTTCTTTTGATTTCGGTATATTTTTATTGGAAATGCAAATCAGATTTATATAGAGGAGTGGCAGAAGTTCTTCCATCCTTTGGTTCATTCCCCAAATGGCCATGATGGCCACAATGGAGTTGATCCAAAGCCAGGAGGCTCTTCTAGGTTTCAGCAGGGTCATAGGGCTTTGGGCCATATTCTGCTTTCCCCAGACATAAGCAGGGAGCCGGATAGGAAGTGAAGCAGCTGGCACTGGAACCAACATTCTTATGGGATCCTGGCACTCCTGTGAGATCCTGATGCTTGCAAGGTAAGGATTTAGCCATTGAATTCTCAGACCTGGCCCCAGCTTCTTAATTTAAAGGCAGAGGTACAGAGACACGCAGACCTTCAGTCAGCTGATTCACACACCAAATGGCTGCAATGCTGCAGAAGCCTGATCCCATTCTGGTCTCCCAAGTGGTTGTCAGGGGTCCAGTAGCTGAGTCTTCTGTGCCATAATGCCTGCTGCTGCCAGAAGAATACCTGTATTGTGTCTTTTGGGCTATGGCATTCACCAGCATGCTGAGTTCCCTAAGTGTCACATGCACATTCAGCAGTATGTGGTGCAAGACAAGAACTGTTGTGTAGTACTTAGATTCTGAATGAATGAATTTGTTTTCTAGTTAGTGTTTCTGTCAGAGTAAGCCAGAAGCTCCAGATACTGTGTGAACGCGGGCATGTTTCAAATCACTGTATTTATTTAATTATATACTTGCTAAATTAGAACATGTCACTGCATGCCTGCCTGGCCTTCTGTGTTTTCTCCCTTGCCCTACCTACCCCTTTGTGCAGCTGACATACTGTTTCCTGGGAGTTGTAGTCTTAGTAGGACTTTGACTGCCTGGACGGATGCGTCTGTCTCATCTAAAGGAATTGATTTAATATTTCATTCCACGATGTTGACAGTGGTGGATCTTCCTGCTCTTCCAGACCAGGAGGCAGCATGCTTTTTCTGAGACATCCAGACATGGCAGACTCTGTTGCAGAATGTTGAGTCAGCTGTAGACGTAATAGTGAATAGATGTGACGATGATCCAAGTAAACATTAGTTGCAAAAACGCGCAGCAGCTGAAGTTGTGAGCACTGTTGGGGAAGGGTTTAAGCTTCAGATCACTTTGGTTTTCTGTTCCATTCTGTGGTATTTGATTGATGAAGTTTGTCTTCCGGTAATGATATGAGTTAGTTGTGAGTTGTTGGTGAAACTAAATCAAGTCCTCTTCATATATTTCAATATGGTAGTTTATATATATATTTTTTCCAGTCTTGAGCCTTTTACAGGCTTGCAAATATCAGTTGTGGCTTTAGTGATTATATTTAACAAGTACTTCTAAATCATTTTCTGCCAGTCAGATCCTGGAAAAACTAAGAGTACTTACAAGTTCATTGCCTGTAGAGATTTATGCAACGGGGGAATTAGTATGTGGATTACTTTCCTACTGTGATACTACTAAAGAAATATAGACCAGATATCTTAGTGTTTCCTTGTTAGTACTTTGTTTCTTTTACAACTGGCCTTAAAAAACAAAAAGATACATTACTTAAAAGAATTATAAATGGCCTGGGAAAAGGAGAAAGATCTTTCATCTGTTGGTTCACTTCCCAAAAAAGGCTGCAATGGCCAGAGCCAGGACACTCTGAAACTGGGAGTCAGGAGTTTCCTCTGGGTCTCCCATGTGGGTGCAGGGGCTCTAAGACTTGTGCCATCTGCTGCTTTCCCAGACCACCAGCAGGGAGCTGCGTTGGAAGTGAAGCAGTCAGGACTTTGGTGGGCCCCCTAAGTCGACTGAAATGGTTTTTCTTTTCTTTTTTTTTTTCTCCTTTCTTTAAAGCTATTTATTCAATTTTTAGTTTTCATTGATTTGAAAGCAGCCAGGTAGACGTTGCGTCTGCTGTTGTACTCCCAAAGTGCCTGTAGCAGCCAATACTAGACTAGGCTATAGCCAGGAATCAAGAGTTCTGCTGAGGGTAGGTGCCACAGGCCAGTCAATCAGCCTGCTGATGGACTAGGAAAGCAGCAGAGGATGGCCTAGTGCTTGGGCCCCTGCACCCACGTGGGAGATCTTGGAGACTCCAGGGTACCCACTTGGAACTAGCCTAGCTCTAGCCATTGAGGCCATTTCAGGAGTGAACCGGCGGATGAAAAATAGATATCTCTGCCTCTCCTCTCTGAAAATCTGCCTCTCAAATTAAATAAATAAATCTTGTAAAAAGAAAAAAAAAGTTTGTGTTCTAATGTGACAGATTAAACTGCTTCCTGCAACACACCAGAATTCCATATATGTACTGTCATGAGTCTCTGGTGCTCCATCTTGATCCACCTCCCTGCTAATACACCTGGGAAATCAGTAGAAGATGACTTTGTTGCTTGGGCCTCTGTACCGTTTGGAAACCCAGATGAAACTCCTGGCTTTGGCCTGGCCCAGCTTCCTGTGTTGTTTCCATTTGAGGAGTGAACCAGTGTATGGAGGACCGCTCTCTCCCCATCTCTTTTTCTCTACAATTCCCCCTTTTTGAAATTCAGTCTCCATCTTCCACCTGAGTGGAAGGGACTCAAACATTTGAACTGTCATCTGCTGTCATTGACAGGAGGCAGGATCAGAAGCAGAGGAGCCAGGAGTTGAATTAAGCAGTATTCTAAGGGGCAGGGTGTCCCAAGCTATGATTTAAACAATTTTTCAAATGTCTTCACCCCTTACTCCTATATGAATATGCATATGAAAGCAGTGTTTTATTAGTGTCAACTACCAACATTCAAATTACTCTAATAATCCCTTAAGTTTTGTTTTATCAAACTGTGATGCACACAGGTCTGTAAATTCATTGGGTTTGATTTCTGTCTCTTCTATTCCTCATACCCTTTTTCTTTTTCCCCGTGCCAATTTTAGAGAATACTGGGCATTTTGTCCTATAGAATTACCTGTATTAGGGATTTTTCATGATTGCAACTCCTTGGTGGCTTATTCCAGAAACCTGATCGAACAGTATAGCAATTATTTGCTATTGCATTATACTAGCAGTTACATGATATGTTCTGACCTCTGTTCTACTTAAAAATATTTCTGCTTCTTGCCTGTTTTAGATTTATTGCACACTGTAAAACAAAGCTATGCTATCCAGCAGAACTTTCTTGTGATGATGGAAATGTTCTTTATCACCACTGTTCTATTTGGTAATTACTAAAAATTTAAATAGCCACATGTGGCTCTTGGCTGCTGTATTGGAAAGTACAGTTACAGGATGCTCAAAGCAGTATTAAACAACAAAGGTAGCAGTAGTTGTCTGTTCATTAAATAAATATACTTTTATCAGTAAATATGTTAACTTGTTCATTGCTGTTTTTAATAGACAAATCTAATCTTATATTTAATATAAGGTGGCATTTTAATAGTTACATATAATGTGGGATGATTAAAGAAAGATTACTAGAGTGTCCTTCCCCTCACCTAGTGAGATGATTGAAATGTACTCCTCTAGTTTTTGTGAAGTAATGTAAATATAGTGGTGATTATATTTGCCCTGCCATGTAGTAGATCTCAGAACTTCATGCTGTCATTGTACTGTCATGAACCACTCCCTTTGATTTCCTTGCTAGCCTCCAGGAACCATCGTTCTCATCTCCACTTGTGTGAGGTCAACTTTTTTTTTTTTAACTTCCGGATACGTGAGAGTTTATATTATTTGTCATGGCTTAACGCACTGTCCTCTAGCTTCAATCTTGTTTTACCTAAGACAAGATTTCCGTTTTAAGCCCTGCTAATACTCCATTTGCTCTTCCCATAACGGCCTTCCAGGATGCTGAGCTTTAGGTCTTAAGTCAACACAGAAATGTAGTGTCCCTGAGAGTTCTTTTTTCATATACCTGGAAGAGGAATTACCGAATCATTTTTGTGGTTTCGTTTAGGTTTTGAGGCTGCTTGGGACAGTTTTCTGTAATGGCAGTATTAATATACATTCCTATCAACAGTGTGCAGGCATTCCCTTTTGCATACAGTCACACCCACACTTGTTATATTTTGCCTGTTTAATAAAAAGCCATTGTGATTTATTTGATCAATTTTCCTATAAAAGCATGTTTTAATTGTGTGGTCGTTCTCCTTCTTAATGGGATAGCGCTCGAGGGCAGCCCTGCAGAGGTATCTGTTCTACTGTAATCGCTATATGAACCACATGCAGAGTCTACGCTTCGAGCACAAACTGTATGCTCAGGTGAAGCAGAAGATGGAGGAGATGCAGCAGCACAATATGTCGTGGATTGAGGTGCAGTTCCTCAAGAAAGCCGTGGATGTCCTCTGCCAGTGCCGTGCCACACTCATGTACACTTACGTCTTCGCCTTCTACCTCAAAAAGAATAACCAGTCCATTATCTTTGAGGTAAGGAAGTTCCTGGGTGGGGAAGCCCTAGCTTGTGTTGAAGGACTGTCTGTAAAGCTCCTGCCTAGTCATGAAATGTGTATGAGCATGGGGTTTTCTAGCAATCTGAATGTCTGAATTGCCATGATTTCACCAGCTGGTGATTAAATGTGCATTTTCTAGAGACAGTTCAAATAGGAGTCTTGACCACTTTTAGCTGAGCTGGTTTGAAATAATTTACTTCACCTCTGCTGCATTTAAAAATGAAGATGTTGGGAAATTTAAGTAAAATGATCTAGGTACATTGTTTATATGGTACCTGATATAACATTGGCTGAAATCAACATGAAGTTCCTGAGTAACAGCGTTTATGTAAGGGTGGCAAAGAGTATGAGTATTCAGAAACCCACATCCTATAATTAGAATAACTGAACTCAGTTCTCAGCTCCTATTACTGTTGTTGTGGTGGTTGTTGTTGTTGTTGTTACTGTTATGTGAAAGGCAGAGTTACAGAGGGAGAAGAAAGGCCGGGAGAGAAATTGTCCATCCATTGGTTTGCTCCCAGAAGCTAGGGCTTGCCCAGAGTTTCTCTCTCATGAGGAAGAAGGGGCCTGATATTTGGACCGTTGTCTGCTACTTCCTCAGGCACATCAGCAGGGAACTGGATTGCAAGTAGAGCAGTTGAGAAAGGAACCAGCACCCTTAGAATACTGTTACCACATTGCCAGCCCATTGTTCTTGACTTTTTCTTATTTTTATTGCAAAATCAGATTTGCAGAGAGAAGGAGAGATAGATTTTCCATCCATTGGTTCACTCCCCAAGTGACCACAATAGCTGGAGCTGAGTTGATCTGAAGGCAGGAATCCGGGACCTCTTCCAGGTCTCCCACACAGGTATAGGGTCCTAAGGCTTTGGGCCGTCCTCAACTGCTTTCCCAGGGCAGAAGCAGGGAGCTGGAAGGGAAATGTAGCAGCTGGAATATAAGCCGGTACCATATGGAATCCCGTCAGCTACGAGGCAAGGGCCTTAGCTACTGGACTACCATGCTGGGCCATGTTCTTGACTCTTGACATTGTCTCCTCCCCGGCTCCACTAATTGTGAGCTTTGGGTCAGTGAACTCATCTGTTAGGAGAGCAACTTCTCTTTATTGAAACAGAATTAATATCTGGTATGGGAGGCTAATATTAGTGGATAAACAATGACCAAAAGAAGGGTTATGTGTGTCTAAGATTCGTTTTATTTTTATTAAAAAGATTTACAGAGAGAGAGATAAAGATCTTTTTTCCATTGGCTCACGCTGCAAGTGACCGCAATTGCTGGAGCTGAGCCAATCTGAAACAAGGAACTTCTCTTGTGTCTCTCATGTGGGTGCAGAGTCCCAAGGCCTTGGGCTATCCCCTGTGCTTTCCCAAGCCATAAGAGGGACTTGGATAGGAATTGGAGTACCTGGCATGCAAACCAGCGCCCTTATGGGAAGTTGGTGCTTAGAGGTGAAGGATTGCCCAATTGAACTATCACATTAGAAGTATTAATTTTATAGCCAGCAGTTGTTAAAATAATTTTGTATTTTCTCTTTAATGTATTTTTAAATATTTATTTATCTTTATTGCAAAGTCAGATATATACAGAGGGAAAGAGAGAGAGAGATCCTCTGTCCAATGATTCACTCCTCAAGTGATTGCAGTGGCCGGACACGTGCTAATGTGAAGCCAGGAGCTCACAACTCCTTCCAGTTTCGCACATGAGTGCAGGCCCAAAGGCCCTGGGCCGTCCTTGACCGCCTTCTCAGGCCACAGGCAGGGAACCCGATGGTAAGCAGGGCCGCCTGGACCAGAACTGGCACTCATATGGGATTCCAGCAGGCCTAAAGCGAGGACTCCAGCCTCTAATTCACCATGCTGGGCTCTCTTTTTAATATTTTTTACGTGTGTTGTTGAATGCATGACCATGTGGTCTTCTGGTTAGGATAGGGCAGGTGAGCACCTGGGAATGAGGGACAGTCACTGGATTAGCCTTAGACCCCAATGCAGGAAGAATGCTCCGAGTGTGTTACTTGAGTGTTTTTGATAGTTTTGAGACACCATTGGCTTTGTGCACCGCAGCTAGGAAAATCTTTTCAAGGTCTAATGGTTGACAAAGTGCATCTTAGTGCATCTACCAACTTGGGAGCATGTTGCAAAGCTTAGCTGGGAGAATTGTCTAACCTGTGTGCTTTCCATCCTCTGACGAGGCAGTCAGTATCCCCTGCTGGCCTAGATGAGCTAGCTGTCCTGTCCCTCATGACACTGCACAGGCATCACCAACCGAGGAGGCCCAAGGCTGATACTTGCTCTCCAAGGCTGGCCACGCATCCTGTGATTTTACGTGTGTCTGGGGTCTGATCCCAGCATCCTCGTTGGGGAGTTCCCCAAGAAACTTCACCTGGGATGACCTCAGACTTGACTGTTGTGTGCATCAGCCGGTGCAGGGTCAGGTCCAGTCTGTCCCCTGCACCAGCCAAGGCACATACAGGTTGATGCAGCTGTCTAGTTAGTTGTGACCCAGCCCCGTTACTCACAAACCTGTAAATGCTGCAGCCCAGCCTGCCCTCCACAGACGTGGTCCCTTGCATGCCAGGGTTATTCAGTAATCTTCAGCGGGCCTGCCGCCAGCCCAATTGATGCCCATGCCAACCTATGTTGCAGCCTAGCCTAGCCGTACCTGTCACTTCATGCATACTGGCAGGTGCTGCTGATCTGTCCAACCTTTTCCTCCCCAATCCTGGCTCGTGTGTCACTGTTGATTGGTACAACCTAGGAGGAAAATGCCCATAGTTCCCCTCCCAGGCATGTTGCCAGACACAAATCTTGCACCTACCCTGTCCTGGCACTTGCCAGCTGGTGTTTTATATAGCCAGCATTTTTATGGTGTAATTCTTCTTGCAGAATAACCAAGCAGATCTAGAGAATGCCACAGAGGTGCTCTCGGGCTACCTCGAACGAGATATTTCCCAAGATTCTCTGCAGGATATAAAGCAGAAAGTACAAGATAAGTACAGGTATGATTTTCCTAAGTATCTGTTGAGCTTCGGCTAGAATGCCTTAGAAATGAGATTGGGTGATACTGAATCTGGTTGTGACCTGGCCAGCAGTAGGAGAGAAAGTTCAGTCCTTATCTACTGGCTGACAGAAAGTGACCATTGGGGAAATGTTTGAGAACAGGATATTAATCTCTGCTTGGAAATCCTTGTGTTACAACTGTAAAGTAAATTTCTTACTCTTGTTTCATCTCTCAGGAACGATTTGTTTTGAGATAGAAATACATGACGCTTGAAATAATACCACCTGCTAAGCTCTAGATTCATGTTTGATTTCTCAACCTGAAATTGCTTCCCCTGAAGTTTTCTTCCTTACAAATCCTAGTGTTTTTTTTTTTTAATAGTTGTAGGAGAGGTTGAAAATTTGCAAAACTTAGATGAATAAATAGATAATGAAGTTACTTCTTTCTGTAGGTGGTTGCTTATATGTGGCCCTGTAAGATTGGATCGTGATTTCTCAAGATCAGTATTCTACCATATTAAGTCTCTTAAATGAATCATGGCTTGCAAGAGGTTCCCTCTTTGTATAGGAAGCAGTTTGATAGATATCTGTGTGTTGACCTGGAAGTGTGCCTGTTGGGCATGCGTGCTGGGTTCCAAGTCTGGATGAACTGTAGCTTTACCTTAGTTAAAAAGAAAAGGAAAATGCCATATTCTCTCCCTGTCTGTGTGTCTCATTCTTGTGTTTTTTCTCTTTGGTTCCAGATACTGCGAGAGTCGCCGGAGGGTTTTGCTGCAGCATGTGCATGAAGGCTATGAGAAAGATCTGTGGGAGTACATTGAGGACTGAGAGTGGCCCCGCATAAAATGAACTCTGAAAACTTTACCATCTAGAGTGCTCATGCAATTAAAACAAAACAAACACAAACAAGGAGGCACTAAGCCTATTCTGACACCACTGGTCTATAGCACCAGAATTCTGTTTTGTTAACGGAAAGTTTAAGTAAATTATATTGTAATAAAAAAAGGTAGATAAACCATTGTACAACAGTATTCTAGGCCGCCAACAAAGTGTGACACACACTAAAAGCCCTCCAACTTTAACTTGTAACGTAGCTTCATTCTCAAAGCCGACTCCTTGTTTATTTTTCTTTTTCCTGAGTGTAGTACACTTAAAAATTACGAACAGCTCCTTGACACTGCTTTTCATGCCCAAACCAGCCATTTTGTTGTACTTTGGTAAAGGCCTTCTTCCCTCTCCTACCCTACACAACACAATGCGCCCACACACACAGACTGATTCTCTCATGCTTGAGGTCGTGAGTGAATGATATACTCCTTGTGAAGCAAATTCTTAGGACAGGAAAGAGGGTAGGCAGCAAGAGGATTAAACAAAAACAAAAATACTTTGTATATGACTTTTAAAAACAAGAGGACAACACAGTATTTTTCAAAATTGTATATAGCGCATATGCATGGACAAAGCAAGCGTGGCACGTGTTTGCATAATGTTCAATTACAAAAATATTTATTCTTTAAAAATCTTCAAGATTATGTCTATTTGCTGTGCATTTTCTTTTTCAGTTTGTTTATCTTCCTGGGATTGGGTTTGGGATGGAAAGTGTACTGATTGTCACTCTGAAGATTCAGAGTGTTAGCCACCCCCTTCCTGGTTGCTTGGCCCTCCTAGTTGCTGTTTCAGCCCCTGCCTTGAGTTCCCAGCTCTTGATCGCAGGGATGGGGGTGCCGCTTCGGACTCCATGCTGTGGCCACCAAGGGCTGCAGTTGTCACGTGATCCTGTCCCCACCCTAATCCCCGATGGCCTCCTGCTTCTCCCTTGTCCTGGTGCCCATGTCCTGCACATGGCCGAAGGCTGCCCAAGCACCCTTTCACATCCAGAGGAAGCATTCAAAGTTTCTTTTTTCTTTTTGGTTTTCCCTTTGTTGCTGCTTTGAGCCTTTTAAGATTTCAGTTGTGTTTCTTTCACCCGTCCTACTTAAGGCATCAAAAAGAATGTTTTTGCTTTAACTTTAATAAATACCCATTCACTTAGTTTCAGATTGTGAATTTAAAATGGCGGATTCTGAGATTGCTTGTGTGTGCTGCTGTGGGTTCTGTTTGAAGCAGATCCCTCTAGAACATCATAAATTCCCATCTAGTGCATTTAGATAGAAATCACGGCATTTATAGGAGAGTTAATAATGCATTTTAGCTGTGATGTCCGTTTTTATGCTATTTCTACTTCAGAGCTATGTTAAAAGTAAAGGATGGTGGTGGTTTTATTAGCTGTATTACGTGTTTGGGCTATTCTGGCCTTGTATTTTTTCAACAGGTCAGCATCCCTCAATCTGTCAATTTTGTACAGAAGTGCAGAGTGAACTAGGCAACCAGATCAAGAGGTCTGAAGAAGCCTCTTTGTCTTCCTTTAACTGTCTCGTGCCTAGGGAATGTTTCCCATTTGCGAGGCAGCTCTGTCTGCTCTTGCACTGTCCATCTAATTACTCCATTGGGAAGTAACTTCACTTTCCTCTGGCCTTTTGCCTAAGTTAGGCTTTGCTGAGTCAACCCTACTTTTCCTTTTAGAAAAGGTTGTTACATGAGATGTACTTGCAACTGTTGTTTTCCCATCAACAATCAGTGAATGTTTGCTGAGTGTGTTATGCTGCTTCCTTAATCCACTTGTCGCCTGAGGCCCTGCTTCCCAAGCATCCTACCCCATTCCCCAGCCACCTCAGGTGCACATTGGATTTCAGTGTCTGCTTCTTCCTTTACTCAGCCCTTGCCACTCCCATCATCCAACTCACTTTATTTTTATTCACATTGACTGCAACAATCTTAAGAGTCACCAAAACTAAGGAGTATTTTGTTTGTTTGTTTATTTTTCTTTAGTAAGTTGATTTCCCCTGGTGACTTTGAGAAGCAGCCAGTGTTGCTATAGGTAATATGTAGCTCCCTCAATTGTTTTGTTGTATGTGTGGTGTTTTTTCAAAGTTAACTTTACGGTATCCAGGTTTGAGTGTCATTAAACCCTCTTGACACCCCTCCCCCAACAAGTATCCAAAGACAGTGTGTGTGCTGCTTAGCCTGAGGAGGGGACTGCCTGGTGCATGTGTCTGTCCCTGCGTTCACATGGATTGAGGTGAACTGGCCCTTTCTGCTTCCAGAAGTCTGTGTTGGGACAGAATTCCCAGAGCTAGTTGATCTTGTTAGCTGTCCCAGGGCAAGACAACAGAAGGTGAGGGAAGGGCTGCTTCCTCCGTTGCACAATGAGCGCCAGAGTCTCCCGGTCTTCTTGAGGTCAGTTAGGTTGTCTTTGGAAAGGTGCATGCTTCCTTGAACACTTCATTGAGCAGCAAATGGACCTGCAATGGTTAAAATTTTCATCCAAAGCTCAGGGCACAAACCACAGTGGCAAGAAGGAGTAGCTTTTATTATCATCTGAGTCTAAATTTTTGTGTAATTTGCTGCAATTAGGATCGTGTTTGCTGTATGTTTAAATAAATACCTTTAAATGCACATGTGTATATTTACACACATAGGCAGAAGACTGACTGGTTTGTATTGAAATGGTGAAATTGGCAGTGTGCTGCATGGTTCAACCATGGTTAGGAATTGATACTTAGTTGGCAAGAGAAAAGAACTTAATGTAACAGATTCTTAATAGCTACAAATCTCAGTATAGAGCACTTGGGGGATGGGCTGGGGTGGGTTGGTGAGACAATCAGATTGGTAAATTGATTAAATGCTCCTAACCCTGTAATTTTGTGCATAGAGCACCCTGTGCTGTGGAAATAACTGTTCTTAGATTTTCATTGTAACTGGACTGTTCAGGTTGCCCACAGGGAAAGAACATTCCTAATTCTAATAAAATAAACTTTTATTTTGTTATTCCATTAGTTATTTATGTTTATTTTTAGAGTTAAAGAGAGAGATGTGTGGGGGCTAGCAGCTGCTTGCATGATTACGTGCCTTAATCACCATTCCTGTTCACTAGCAAGTGTCAAGATGGGAATCTCCTCTACAGGGAACTGCAAACAAGATCATCCCTCCCCAGTACTTAACTGGTTAACAAACCCTTCAGAACATCTGGGAGCGTCTTCATTTCCATGTCTTGAATATTGACTTTGGATCACCGTATTGCGACAGGGATATATACTAGTTACTCAGATATTTGAATATCAGGGTTTTAAGATAAAGTCATTCTTTTTAAAACTACATGGCATTATTTCCACCCAGCCCATTAGCAAGTCGATATTTCCCGATGAAACTTAAGGGAAGGCGCCATTTTAAAGCAGGTCCCAAAGTTGAAGGTATTTATTACCAATATTCTAGGCAGGTCTGGCATTTTACAACAGTTTAGTTTAGACCTAGGGTTCGTCTTCAAGCACTTTTGACCCATCTGCAGTGAAGTAGGAATTGCTGTTTTACAAAGGAGGCAGTCAAAGTTTGAAGCAGTTAAGTACTGCAGCAAGTGGTCCACAATTTCTTTGGGTTATCGTCATGCTACCTGTGTGTCTTGTGTTCCTGTTCTGGTCTGTGAGTGATGTTGCTTTGAGGACAGAAGCCAGGAGAATTTCTCACAGCTTAGTGCTGTACCTTGGACCACATCCCAAATGGCCTGCTGCAGGTGGTTACTGTCTCTGATCTTTATTTATTACAGGCTTAGCTAGAAATGTGGCTCTGTTTCCTGCTAGTTAGATCCAGCTGTGGGGGCTCATGTCAGGACTTGAGGGTAAATGGTGGACCATGGTTGAGTTTGGTCAATAATACCCAGGTACTTTGCAGTTATTCCTGGGTATTCCCAGAGTAGGGACTCTAACTAATCTGGGGCTTTCTAGTGTTTGCTGCTTATGTAAAAGTTCAGTATTTATGCGTGGAGCTCTTTTACCTTGGGAGCGGTAAACACTGGGAATTACGGGAAACCCCTGGTTCTTTGAGAAACAAGAAATTTGGACACCTTGGGTTTTTGTTTTGTTTGTTTAGGTATGAAGTTGGTATATATTGGGTTGGTTTTAAGAGATTTGCTGCTAATTGCCCACGATGAAACTGCCAGATAAGACGTGCTATTAGAAGTCAGTCACACGGTGCATACCGTAGGAATAAACAAAAGGAGACTACTTTGGGGCTTTCTTGCTTTCAGTTCTTGTGAGTTTCAATTTTTTAATGTCACCTGTTGAGTTTTTTTCTGGTTGTTAGTATTTAATATGGGAAAAGAGGTGGGGAGGGGCTGGGGGAATCCCAGAGCCTATGAAACTGTCATAAAATGAAAGAAAGATGGGAAAAAAGATTGTTGGGAAGAGCAGTTTTTAGGTCGCAATACATATGCTTTAGCATGAGACCATTTTTAGGAAATCACCACTTGGTTTATAAGTTATTCACATACTGGTTTGTTAACAGCTCAGCCTTATTAGTAATTTAGGAATCTCGAGCTGTGTAATGACAGGATATGTATTTTAGTACTAAAACTATTCTGTATTAGGTGATCTCTGAGAAGCCTGTGAAATCTACTCTTTATGTGAATTGTCTTAATTTTGGATGGTGGCAGTGTATAGTATTTTAAAACAAGCTGTTACATGCTGCCATCTTGTTAATCTTGCATTGCAGCTCCATGCTGAGAAAGTTATCCTGACCAGTGGTTCTCAGCCTGGTGCTTGTGTGGGAAGCTTAGAGAAAATATGGATGCCTGAGGGACACAGCTTGGAACTTGATTTAACTCCTGGGATTTGTGAGCTGGGTGTTAGTACTGTTTAGGAGCTCCCCCTCCCCCACCCCCCGATTTAATTTTTATTGGAAAGGAAAATGTACAGAGGAGAGACAAACATCTTCCATCCACTGGTTCACTCCCCAATTGGTTGCAATCGCCAACGCTGAGCTGATCCAAAGCCAGTGTCTTCCTCCAGAACTCTACATGGATGCAGGGTCCCAAAACTTTGGGCCATCCTCAACTGCTTTCCCAGGCCAAAAGCAGGGAACTGGATGGGAAGTGGTGCAGCTGGCACCCTTATGGAATACTGGGCATGCAAAGCAAGGTTTTACTAGGCTAGTGTGCTGAGCTCTGAAAGGCAGACTTACACAGAATCTTCCATTCACTGGTTCACTTCCCAAATGAACACAACGGTCAGAGCAGAACTGAGTCAATCCGGAGCCAGGAGCTGCTTCCAGCTCTCCTAACGTGTATAGGCACGTTAGGTCTTGGACCATCCTCCACTGCTTTCCCAGGCGATAAGCAGGAAGCTAGATGGGAAGTGGAGCAGCTGGAACTGGAACCGACTTACACATGGGATGATAATGCCATAGGTAGGAGGCTTAGTTGAGACTGATTTCAGCTGACCTCTGTAGTGGCCAGGAGGAAGTGAGCAGCTCAAGGTCTTACAGGAGAAAGGCAAATGTATAGGCCTCAGCTGTGTAGGTACTGTGGACTAGTGCCTTCCCAGGGTATAGTGCAATGCACCTTATCTATTTTTAAAGATTGTTAAATCTCAGTTCCACTGATAAACTCCTCAAATGGCTCTAATGACCAGGGCTAGTCCAGACCAAAGGCAGGAACCAGGTCTCCCATCTTGATCTCCCAGCTGGGTGACAGAAACCCAGGTATATGGGCTGTACTCCACTGCCTTCCCAGGTTTGTTAGCATGGAGCTAGTTGAGATGCAAAACACTTGGGACTTGGACTGGGTTCCAATATGGAATCCTTCACTTGCAGTATCACAATACTGTTGGTGCCAGTGTTTGGGTTTTGTTGTTACTTTTCTGTTAGGCGATCCATGCACCTAGGAAAAAATTCACAAAACCGAACAAGTAGTAGTGGAACTGACAATGTTTACATCAAGTGGTATCCATTCTTTTTCCCAGGAGCAAATTGGAAAAGTAAATTTAGAGTTTCAGCAAAAGTTATAAACTATTCCACTTACGGTGAAGTTCAGAACATTTTAGAGATTTCACAAATTTTGCTTTCACTTGTCATTATTTTGATAATCTTGTTTGTGAAGACCAGATTGGCCTATTTTTGTTCTTAGTGTGTCAAAATGGAAAGAATGTCTCAGCCATAGTTTTCGCTTTTGTGTAAAAGGAGGCTACAAGTAGAAATTGTCCTTTGCTGATAACGTTTTTGCTAGATGCCTTCAATGTCGTCTGTCTTGTAAACAGCCGTAAATCAAGTGATCAGAATGAAACAAAAACTTGACTTGCACAGTGAGTTTATGACATAATCACACCTGTCTTGATTCCTTACACTCCTTCTAGTGTCCTGTGTATTTTCCATTGCATTTAGGGGTAATTGTGAGGATCAAAGAAAACTAGCGGAACTTGGAGGAAAAGGCAGATACACACTCATGAGGTCTAGGGAGGCAGGGTGAGATTCCACCAAGGAACTAGAAAACCCTTCCGAGTCTTCATCTAGCCCTGCCTGCCACTTCCTTCTATATAACAGATTCTGCTCTTGCTGCTAGCTGCCACTCTGCCCCACAGGTTCACATGAATGATCAAAGGTGTGTGCACACAGAACCCATGAGATCCTTGAAGCAGCAGTGTCCATCCAAGGGCGGTTCTCCCCACACCCCTGTGCATGGGGATCGTGCTTAGCTGCATACACATCACAGTTGTCTTCCACATACTCAAGATTCTTGGAAAGCTTGTTTTGTAAAATACATGTAAGAAATTAGTGTATGATAACTATGGCTAACTAGTACCTAACACGAAGTGCTTCCTTCATGTTTATGCTACTTAAGCTATTCCTGTGAAACAGTTGTCGTCCCTGTTTTGTAAATTAAAAAGTAGATGCTCAGAGAAGGTAGGTAGCTTCTTTGCAGCCATCCTATAGTTAATGGGGAAGTTTCACACCCAGGTTGCTAGAGTACGGGAGCTGCTATGCTGCAGCCGGGAGGGAATTTCTGATGGTTTACCTGGAGCCCCTATAGTCATGGTGTTAAACAGCCGCTCGGCCTGTGAGAAGTGCAGTCACGTTGAGCTCTGCACTGTGTGTTCTCACCCCACTGTAGCTAACTGCTTCTCAGCCCGGCTCAGACTATGTAAACAGATAGGAGGACCTGAAAACTCAATGACCAGCTTACCTCCGGCTGTGTTCTGTAGGGAACAGATGGCTTGCTGGTTATACTCCAGCTTCTATGAAGCACCTGAAGATTCCTTCCCTCCACCCCCCCTTGACACTTGGGAGCCATCCCCGCATTTCAATAGGGCTTAAGAAGCAATTCTGACAGACAGCCAGTCTACCTGGACGCAATGGGGTCCATGTGCAAAGGGATATTTCCTAACATCTGTTGTCTTCCAGAGGCCCCTATTACCACTTCCTCCCTGACTGACCATGAGAAGATTGGCATTTATTCTTCAGGCCTCATGCCTTTTGTGAAAGTACTTGTTTTTCATGGTGAGAATTTGGAGGGTGACTTTAGAAGCAAGACCAATTCCTGAATGCAGTTTCTTCCTCCAGAAAGCTCTTGAGACTGAACACTATTGGTCTTAGATTCTCCCTCCGCTGGCCAACAGCCACTGCTGATGCATGATTATGGAGCAGTGCCCTAGAAGCTGCTGCAATGCACAGGAAGCAGCTCTTACACTTTTGAACTTGGGCTTTAGGCGGCGAGCATCCAGCAGTCTGTGAATCTGGTAGCCAGCTGGGGACTACTGAAGACCGAGCACACGTACAGCAGGAATTTTCTTGGAGATGCCCTCCAAAAGAACTTCTGCCTGAATTTACCAGCTATCTTGTGCAGGGAAACTCCATGCAGGTTCCTAAGGTTCCCTCAGAGGTAGCACAGCATTGGGGAATAACTACAGAACACCTTTGGTTTGCCTACCTGGGCTGTCCCAAAGGAATGTTGTGAAGTTGTTAAGTTCTTACATCTGCTCTTGAATAGTTTGTAACTTAGTCACTGGCC